TCAATCCTGTCTAGTCTAATAGACTGTATCTCAGTATTCTCCTCGACAACATTGTCTTTTTCCTGTGTGAATACTGACGAAAAATATTCATTTAGCGCCTCTCCTGTCTCTTCGGACTCCACGCACAACTTCCCACTACTGTCCTTGACTGGCCCTAATCTTACTCTAGTCATTCTTTTATTCCTGACATACCTGTAGAAAGCTTTAGGGTTTTCCTTGATCCTACCTGCTAAAGACTTCTCATGTCCCCTCCTGGCTCTTCTTAGCTCTCTCTTTAGGTCCTTCCTGGCTAACTTGTAACTCTCAAGCGCCCTAACTGAGCCTTCACGCCTCATCTCTACATAAGTCTCCTTCTTCCTCTTGACAAGAGATTCAACTTCTTTAGTAAACCATGGTTCCCTCGCTCGACCACTTCCTCCCTGCCTGACAGGTACATACTTCTCAAGGACACGCAGTAGCTGTTCCTTGAACAAGCTCCACATTTCAATTGTGCCCAGCCCCTGCAGTCTGCTTCTCCATCCTATGCATCCTAACTCTTGCCTAGTCGCCTCATAATTGCCTTTCCCCCAGCTATAACTCTTGCCCTGCAGTATATACCTATCCCTTTCCATCGCTAAAGTAAACGTAACCGAATTGTGGTCACTATCACCAAAGTGCTCACCTACCTCCAAATCTAACACCTGGCCTAATTCATTACCCAGTACCAAATCCAATGTGGCCTCGCCTCTTGTTGGCCTATCTACATACTGTGTCAGGAAACCCTTCTGCACACATTGGACAAAAACTGACCCATCTAAAGTACTTGAACTATAAGGTTTCCAGTCGATATTTGGAAAGTTAAAGTCCCTCATAACAACTACCCTGTTACTTTCGCTCCTATCCAGAATTATCTTTGCAATCCTTTCCTCTGCATCTCTGGAACTTTTCGGAGGCCTATAGAAAACTCCCAACAGGGTGACCTCTCCTTTCTTGTTTCTAACCTCAGCCTATACTACCTCAGTAGATGAGTCCTCATCAAACGTCCTTTCTGCCACCATAATACTGTCCTTGACTAACAATGCCACACCTCCCCCTCTTTTACCACCTTCCCTGATCTTACTGAAACATCTAAACCCCGGAAACTGCAACAACCATTCCTGTCCCTGCTCTATCCATGTCTCCGAAATGGCCACAACATCGAAGTCCCAGGTGCCAACACATGCTGCAAGTTCACCCACCTTATTCCGGATGCTCCTGGCATTGAAGTAGACACACTTCAAACCACCTTCCTGCTTGCCGGTACACTCCTGTGACCTTGAAACCTTATTCATGACCTCACTACTCTCAACCTCCTGTACACTGGAGCTACAATTCAGGTTCCCATCCCCCTGCTGAATTAGTTTAAACCCTCCTGAAGAGCATTAGCAAATTTCCCCCCCAGGATATTGGTACCCCTCTGGTTCAGGTGTAGACCATCCCGTTTGTAGAGGTCCCACCTATCCCAGAATGAGCTCCAATTATCCAATTATCTGAATCCCTCCTGCACCATCCCTGTAGCCACGAGTTCAACTGCTCTCTCTCCCTATTCCTCGCCTCGCTAGCACGTGGCACGGGTAACAAACCAGAGATAACAACTCTGTTTGTTCTAGCTCTAAGCTTCCACCCTAGCTCCTTGAATTTCTGCCTTACATCCCCATCCCTTTTCCTACCTATGTCGTTGGTGCCTATGTGGACCATGACTTGGGGCTGCTCTCCCTCCCCCTTAAGGATCCTGAAAACACGATCCGAGACATCATGGACCCTGGCACCTGGGAGGCAACACACCAACCACGAGTCTCTCTCGTTCCCACAGAATCTCCTATCTGTCCCCCTAACTATGGAGTCCCCTAGTACTCAAACATACACCTCCCTAGAATTTCCATGACATTGTAACTACTAATACTGGAAAATAACTGAAAAAGTAAGCAATTTTTTGCAATCGTTATATTATGCCTTTAGTTTTAGGTGGAGGGTTTTGTCCTTCTTGCTGAGTTTGCACCAATGATTTCCACATGATAACCACGACTTCCTGATGTGACGGTAACTGCCTATTAGAGTCATAGAGAGTCAGAGCTTTTAACAGCATAGAAAAAGGCCCTTTGACCCATTGTGTCTGTACTGGTCATCAAGCATCTATCCATTCTAATTCCATTTTCCAGCACATGACCTGTAGCCTTAAATGTTATGGATTTTAAGTGCTCATTTAAATAGTTTTTAAATAATTTGAGGGTTCCTGCCTCTCCCATGCTTTTTTGGCCATTGAATTTCAGATACCTACACTTTCTGGGTGAAAGGGTTTTCTTTAAATTCCCCCTAAACCTTGTGCTCCTTACCTTAAAACTGTGCCCCTAGTTACTGATCCCGTTACTGAAGGGAAAGGTTTATTTCTATCTTCCCAGACTATACCCCTCAAAACTTTGTACACCTCAATCAGATCCCCTCCCAGCCTTCTGTGCTCTGAGAAAAACAATCCCAGCCCAACTAGTCCCTCTTCATAGCTGAATCACATCAGCCCAGGTAACATCCTGGTGAATCTTTTCTGCACGCTCTCTAGTGCAATTACTTCCTTCCTATGGTGTGGCTACCAGAACCACACACAGTATTCCAGCTGTGACCTAACCAACATCCTCTACAGCTCCAACATAATCTCCCTGCTCTTGTATTCAATTCTTTACTCATAAAAGCAAGTATCCTGCATGCCTTCTTAACCAGTTTATCTACCTGTCCTGTTCAAGAATTCTACGTATATAAATTGCTGCTGTTAGATTTGCTTAAGATAATGGCCTGGACAGGATGGTTTATTTGCAGTTACTCATAATAGAAAACGTGTACCTAGCATTTATCTGATATCACTACATTGGTGTACACTATCATTGTTTTAATGTATTACTGGACAAAGTAGTAATGAAATGGGAGCTTTACTAACATAACGTGCGTACATTTAATAACTAAAATCGAGAAGTGAATTGATCCTCTCATTAACCTAATATGGGATTGTATCCATGATTTCAGAGGACTTCAGTTTCATTCTGAGTCATGGTGGAGTGTAGCCAGATATTTTCCAGGTGCTGTGGTGAAAAATGACAATCAAGAAAGCAAAGATTAAGGAGAAGATTTCAGTTACCCAACAAAGTTCTCAATATACAGAGTTTGCAGCGTATTTATAATTGTTGACATTGTGCAGGCCCCTGTTATGTCAACTTTCCTCCTTGGCTTTGTTATGGTGTTACAACTGTCCTGTCTGACTTTCCTACTCTTTGTAACAATGAGCAATATTTTTACACAAGCTGATAGGCTTACATAATTTTGGCCTTGGAATCGATTGTCTCAGATGGCTGTTTTCTTTCAAAAGTTCAAAAACGGTATTCTTGTAACAGCGCGTTTTACATAACCTTTCTGTCTGTTATTTCAGCTTCTCTACAAGTCAGAGTACACTGGTTTTATGAGAGGTACGGGCTGGATGTCCATTGGCTCATTGCAGGATGAAAAGAACAAGCGAGCTTCAAATATCCTATGTGAGAAAAAGTATCGTCAACACCCGGAGACTTTGAAATATACCATTGATATGGAATCCATACCTATGGAGCTTGCTAAAGTCAATGCCAAAATCATGAATACGGTAAGCAGATCTTTTCTTAAAAAAAACATTGATTGTGGATGGTACTTCATATCTTTGAGAGTACCCTTTACTTATCAACAACTATTACTCTGCAGCATCTATACAAGGAAGCCTGGGAAAAAGACAAGCTCCAAGTCCACGTGATGCCAGATACACCAGAAATTACACTAGCAAAAGTGAACCAGTACAACATCAGTGAGGTAAGTAGAGCCTGTCAATCTGAATTCCTCCCTATTGTCATATGTTTTCGCTACATACAAGTGAATTGAAATTCTGATTTAGCGAAGAAAGTCAGACCTATTTAAGCTATACAAGGAAAGTGAAGCAAGTGTATAAAGTAAAACGGATCCAATGAGAAATGCAGGAGTATCTTTCTGTAAGAATGGTAGCCAATAAAAGTCCTTAGAATTAACAGCCCATTTGAACACTCTAATAATATACCTTTCAAGACACAAGAATCATTGACTCTCTGATTCAAGGATCCACTGTGAAATCAAATATCAACAGAGTAAAATTTGAACTTGATGTTGCTGAAAAGCCAAAATTGGATCAGCTACAGAGGATAAAGCAACTATTTCATTCTTTGGATTCAGATTCCAGCAAGTAAGGAAAATACATATAGAATCACTGCCCCTATCCTCTGGAGAATCAGGAACAACAGTCTTTGAATTTGAAATAAAATTAAAAAATAATGACATATTATGCAGTTGTTAAACACTGAACTGAACATGTGCTATAGTAAAGTTATAAATTTATTACAGGCCTGAAACTCTGTTGTTATATTGTACTTGTCAGATATTTTTGTACTATCTGATGAACTGTCCAGTCACAGTCTGGATTTGAATTGTATGCCCTTCTTCAAAAAAAGTGAAAATATCCCGATATCCATATACACAAACCCTTAAAGATGGTAGGGCAGCTTCAGAAAATGGCTAAAATCGGAGTTTGAAAGTGAAAGAGCTGATGCTAATACTTCATAAATTGCAGGCTGGTTCTCAGCTGGAATATTGTGCAGGTCAGAGGAGGATGTTTATCATGTTGTTCCAATAGAGGAGGATCTCAGTTTTTAAGAGTTTGAAAAAGTTAGGACTCTCCTCCTTTAGACCATTGGAATTTCTGAGATAACATTAGAGATAATGGGACATTTTAATAGAGGGGTTGGAAAAAACCTGTGGTCTCTCACTGTGGTGAAACAATAAAGCAAACCTTGGCAAGACATCTACACTGGAAGAGAAATTTTGTTGAGTTAACTTTATTGGGCTGTTTCTAAAAAGGTGGAAACTGAGTCCCAAATTAAATTTAGAGGTGATTTAGACAGGTACTTGAGGATGAAGAACTAACTGGGTTATGGCCAAAAAAAAGCACTAATACAATGGGTCAAATGGCCTCCTTTTGGTGCTGCAAATATGTATGATTATCTGAAGTTTTCACTTAAAAACTTACATAATAATGAATCACTGATATTGCAGTAAGTTTTGATCTATTTGGAGAAAAAGCTAACAGCTTTTCATCACCTTTATGTACACTTCCTTGTCTTGCTTGTTTTAATTTATATTGTCTAGAAAAATAGAATAATTTTAGTTTATATTGTCCTCCTTTATAGAAAATGTATAGACAGAGCATGGAAGCGGACAAGAAGAAGGGCTATGATCTCCGTGCTGATGCCATTCCAATCAAAGCCGCCAAAGCCTCAACTAATATTGCTAGTGATGTAAGTGTTTTGCAGCAGCCACAAAATTCCATGATCTCCCTTTGTCTTATTTTGTGCCAGGCTTCTCTTCTCCAAAAATGGTCTTGTGCAAGTGACCACTTGCATCATGTTGAGAATCCTTTCTGCAGGCCCCTTGCCATATTTATATACAGTTGCACTTCACTAGTTAGCGTGATGTTCCATGGATTAATAATTTGGGCTGTATTATTCTATACTTCAAATTGTAAGAGGCTCGATCACCTTTCCCACCCTGAAACAAAAGTTCTAAGGCCAAAGTGTGATCGTGACACTGGTTAAGAGCAAAATCAGCAGGGATTTGAGGATTTTACTTGAACTTTCTGTCTGAACCGGTTTGAATTGAGGGAATTGTGCAATCACATTTGTATAAATGTAGGTGTGGATAGGATAATAGGTTAAGAGTCTGGCCCCCTGCACAGTAAATAATGTAGATTATGTAGCTATTTATGGATTCATCTCCTAAATTTGAAATTCTCCAGCTCAGAGAGCTACGGATGCTCAGTAATTGAGCAAAATTAAGACAGGGATCAATAGATTTTGGATCCAAAGGGACATGGTGATAATATAGGAAGTTGTTGCTGAGGCAGAAGTTCATCCATGATCATCTTAAATGATGGAGCAGGCTAGGAGAGACAATTGACCTACGTATTCTACTATTCCTTAAGTTCTTATAATGCATTTTAAAGGTATCTCTTTAATAAACATTGTAATGGTATTGTCTACTGTTTGAATATGAATCAACCAACCTGAATAAAAGGTTGTCAACTTCGCAACTTGCACCATAGTGAACTTGTATTATTTTTGAATCAACCACTCTAGGTTTGTTTTCTACTCAAAATTGGAGGAAAATAGTTTCAAAGCACATTTTTCTTTCCTGATTCAGTACATTGAGATTTGTCATAATTTGGATGACTTTTCTTTAAACTTTCATGTATAATTGTTTTTGCCCTCCACTTTCTTACAGTATAAATATAAGCAGGCTTACGAGAAGAGTAGAGGGAGGCAGGTTGGTTTCCGGAATTTGCAGGATGACCCTAAGCTGGTCCATTCCATGCACGTAGCCAAGCTGCAGTCTGAACGTGAATATAAAAAGGATTATGAAAAGAGCAAGACCAAGTACCACATGCCATTGGATATGCTCAGTCTTATGACTGCTAAGAAGTCGCAGGAGGTAGCCACTAATACCAACTACAGACAGGAATTCCATAATTTCACGTATTTACCTGACGCCATGAACCTGAAACTTTCCAGAAAGATGATGAACATACAGAGTGATGTAAGCTCATTTACTTTCAGTTGACGCTATTTTATAATTCTGAACTGAGTTTAATATTTTCACTGACAATTGACATCTGTGATTCTTAATTTTAAAACCTAACCTCTCCAGTCTTTAATGTGAATATTGATATTATCCCCATTGTAAATCCAGCAAAATAAAATGCAACTTCAGTGCACATAATGTCCAGTGTTATTATTTTCCATTTAAAATTCATACTTGTCAAATCTACTTATACCCTCAACTATGTATATTACTGTTTGACTTTATACCCTAGAATTGTTGAATAGAATGAATATACCTGCATTGTTCTACATCAGAATAAATTGTACATTATCTTTCAAGCATAATCGTAAGAATAGTTAGAAATAGTAAAAATAAGTTATAAATTTGCTTAAACTTAATAAATTAGTTACTTTGCCGTGCATGGTAATCAAGTCTTTGTTATACTGGATACTAAACAAAACTGTGCTGAGGAAGGGTCACCGGACCCGAAATGTTAACTCTGTTTTTTCCTTCACAGATGCTGCCAGACCAGCTAGGCTTTTCCAGCAACTTTGTTTTTGTTGTTGTTGTTGTAACTAAACAAAACTAGGCTACATTTCAAAAGATGGAATGAACTCTGCATGTTGTAGGATTAACATTTATCATAGCACATAATAAATCCACCTGCATCTCTGTATTGTAATTAATATATGAAATATGTTCAGGTTAAACTTGATACTTTATATAATTTTGCTTTGAAATAACATTGTTTTGTCTTAATTTTATGGAACCTGTGTTGAATTTGTAAAAATTGAAGTGTTGTTATCTTTGACTTGCCAGAAAAATTATAAAGCAGACCTTCAGTGGCTGAGGGGAATTGGTTGGAGTCCCGCTGGGTCAATAGATGTTGAGAAGGCTAAGAAAGCAACAGAGATTGCGAGTGAGAAGAAATACCGCCAGCATCCAGAGACCTTCAGGTTCACAAGCCCATCTGACTCTATTGAGATGGTATTGGCTAAGACTAACACACAGACAATGAAGAAGGTAGGCATTTAGATTTGGAATATTTCAGCATCCTAGTGATCTATCAATTCTTTTTTTCACTTCATCAATACTCTTCCTAACTCCCCTGAGGATGTTCACTCCTCATTTGTACATAGTTCCATAATTGCAAGTTTACATGTCCTCTACATGCTCTTTACCCTGGGGTGAGAGCTAGGGAATGGTGGGGGAGTGGGGTGGGGGGAGAATCATTCCAGACGATGCCAATCATGTCTTCACCTGACATACACCGAGACTGCAAAAAAGGAGTAGGGATGCTGAGATTTCTCCCCCACCTAACCCAAAGGCATTGAATCCAATTGTAATATTCTTAAACATTTCATTCATAAGATTGGAGACGGAAGCTTCCCATGCTTAACATCTAGATATTAAGTTTGGTTGGTGATTGGTGTTTTATGTGTGCAGAGGCCATAATGATTCCTTTAGAGCCTTCTGTAATATGATTACAAATGTTTTGAGTGCACAATTTTCTTAAAGTATCAGTCAAATGTTTCAAGATGGAAGCTAAGAATCAGTATTCATCATGAGATGAGGGTATTGTTGACTAGACCAGCATTTATTGCCCATCCTTAATTGTCCTTGAGAAGCTGGTAGTAATCTACCTTTTTGAACAACTATAGTGCATTGGTATAGATACACCCTCCATACAGTTAGGCAGTGAGATCCAGAATTTTAAACTAGTGACAATGAAGGAATAATAATATATTTCTGAATCAGGATGGTTTGTGGATTGGAAAGGAAGGTGGTGGAATTTCCATGCAGTTGCTGTTTTTGTCCTCCTAGGCGGTAGTGATTGTGGGCTTGAGTGTAGTTGTCAAAGGAGTCTCATTGATTATAGAATCAGAGTCATAGAGTTGTACAGCACGGAAACAGACTATTCGGTCCGACTTGTCCACACTGAGCAGACATCTCAGACTGATCTAGTCCCATTTGCTATTGCAACGTATCTTGTTGGAACTACTCTGTGTGCACCAGTGGTGGATGAAGTGCATATTGAAGGTGGATTAGATATTGTTGTAGTATTTTCACAATTGCTATTTCAGTCATAATTCCAAACTGTCTCTTTTCAGAACTCTTGCAGGAACTTTCAAAGAAGCTCAGATTTACATACATTTTTATTTTCACAGAATCTGTATACAGAAGCCTGGGAGAAAGACAAAACTAAGGTTCACGTGACACTGGATCATCCAGATATTTTACAAGCTAAGGCCAACGCTCATATATTCAGTAATGTAAGATTTTTGAAAATGATTCAAATTTAAAGAAAATAAAGATTTAAGTCAAAAACTACAAGCACTAAATGTCTTTTCTCTTTGTAGAACATATATAAATTGGGCTGGGAACAATCCAAGAGAAAAGGTTATGACCTCAGACCTGATGCTATATCAATAAAGGCTGCCAAAGCATCGACAGATATTGCAAGTGATGTAAGTACGAATAATTTTGCAGGTTTATAATGTACAACTTTTAAATGGTTTATACAAAGTATTGGTAATGAAAGAGTTATTACTAAAATCACATTTACCGTGATTAAATCTGATGTTATGTAGCCTTTGGGTGGTGAACCACGCAGTATAACATGAGGTCCTGATGGAGACAGATGTGTTAGCTTTGGTTCCTGGTAGTTCTTCATTTTGCCCAGTGAGTTAATTGATAACAGCAATAAACTACATTTTTTTGGGGTCAAGTCTTACCTGCCCCAGAAGTGTGTAATAACATCTCTGAACAGGTTGGTTAAAAATATCTAGAAGGGCAATTTAGGGTTCTTGTGGTGCAGTGGTAGTGTCCCTAACTCTGGGCCAGAAGACCTGGGTTCAAGTCCAATCTGTCCCAGAGATGTGTTCTAACAAATTCTAACAGGCTTATTTTTAAGTCTGTTGTGGCTCAGTAGTAGCATCCCTACCTTTGAGCCAGGAGGCTTGCGTTCAAGTTCCAATGCGCCAGAGTTTGCAATAAGATCTCTGAACAGGTTGATTAGAAACTGTCTAGAAAGGTGGATTGAGTTAAATGAGTTGGAAAGTGGATTTGACCTTCAGAGCCCAGTGGACACTGCGGGGACTAAGGTGCAACAACACCCTGGACAATGATATTTTGATTCAATAAGTTTATGTTCATTTTTTATAAGCTACTGCTAACCATTTGATTGTGGTTTTATTACAATGTCCCATCAGGGGATGTCTAACCATTTGAGGACTTGTTGTTTTAAAAAAAGTAAAAGGACGGATTGGAGTTAGTGAACTACCTCAACCATAGATTTAGACCAAGAGACCAATATGACATTATTAAAGATATTTGGATCCATCTCTAACAATAATAAATGTGGTTTTCATCATCAATTCTCTTAGCTGGAAGCCTTTAATACAACTGAACGCTATTCTTCAAAAGGAGGGGGACATTAAGTCCAGCATGTTCAAACAGAATTCAATCCACTATGCTCCTCACCAAATCCATTACCTCTTCTTTTCATCTCTACTTAAATGCTTCACCAGTTTACTTAAACTCCTGTTTCTGTTGACTCAGGTACCTTGTTCTTCTTGTTCTATTATTGACTCTGCTTCGTCCTTCATTTGAAACCTGTAGAAGTTTGCAGGACTGCCTGTGATATTGAATATCCTTGCTGTTCCTCCAATTCCATTTCTTAAATCTGGCTTTCCAGCAAAGAACTTCTTTTTTATTAATATGGATTTTTGCTTATATCTGCAGAGGTTATTTGTGATCATGTGCTCCTGTTGAGGACTGCCATTTGATGGCAATGGATCTTGTGAAATCTATACCAATATAATCCATTGCTATCCATCCATTGCTGTACTCCTGCATTATCCTAAGTTTTTCTCCCTGTGACAATTCTTTACCATTGGTATTCCAATGGACTGGTTCATCCCTTTATATCCAGTTGGTACCAGTTGTACAGATCAACTGTTCAACTTTGGCAATATCTTCAGTTTTGAATCACAGAATATGTTCTCCATTGATAAGATCATGCCTTGTTCTCTGTTAAGCCAACATTACTATCATAGCAACATAATAGAAACATAGAAACTATAGCATGGCCTAGGCCATTTGATCCTTCAAGCTTGCTCTGTCAATCAGTATAACCATGGTTGATCCTTTATCTCAATGCCATATTCCTGCTATCTTCCCCTACCTCTAGATGCATTTAAAATCTAAAACTTTATCAGTGCCTGTTTTCCTTAGGAACTTCCTTTTCTAAAATCTCTGTCCTTTACCATCTCTTCAAAAGCTCTGTCAATTGTTTTTTTCATCCAGCCTCTGTTTCTCTCCCATTACCAACCTAGTTTTCTTTGTGCATGTGACTTTTTTACTTCTGCTTTAAATATGTTGCCATCACAGGCAAAAATATGTATTCCAGCAATGTTTTATAGTAACTCTATGTAACCAGGCCTTAATTGCTGAGGTGGTAGTCCTGATTTTCTTGTAAAGGACTCTGAGAAACTGCTCTCTACAAGTAGAATAAGATGATACTGGTGTATAACCCAAGTTGCCGCAGGTGTGCACATTTGTCACCATGAATGTGATTCTTCTGAAAAATGAAACTGTTTAGAGATTGCAAAGTTGTTTTCTTTTCACTGTGGTAAATACCATTAAATATCTGGAACTATTTTTCAGTACAAATACAAAACAGCCTACCGCAAGCAGCTTGGCCACCACGTTGGATGCCGTAACCTTCAGGATGACCCCAAGATGGTTTGGTCCATGCACGTGGCCAAGATTCAGAGCGACCGGGAATACAAGAAGAACTTTGAGAAAACAAAGACCAAGTTCAACATGCCAGTCGACATGCTGGACATCCTGTTGGCCAAGAAATGCCAGACTCTGGTCAGCGACATTGACTACAGGCAGTACCTGCATCAGTGGACCTGCCTGCCGGACCAGACTGATGTGATCCAGGCAAAGAAGGCCTATGATCTGCAAAGTGATGTGAGTATCTTACCCATGGTATAATGGAGTTAGTCATTCTGTTCAAAACTCTCCCCAATGTTGATCACTCTAAATTAATATCAAGTCTTTCCAAATTAGAAAACATCTATAACATAAAGTCTGTTGCCTTGATCTAAGAAGCTTTTTGTTCACTCTTCAACCTTTTACCTTAATTTAGCTTAGATAAGTTGACACATGAACACATAGATATGTGGTTGACTCTTAAGTGCCCTCTAGGCAATTAGGGACCACAATAAGTGCTGGACTGGACAGTGACTTCCTCATCCCATGAATGAATAAAAAAAAATTCAGTAAGATGATGCCTGATCTGCATTTTAATTCAATCAGTTTTCCTTAATTCCATGAATAGCTTTGAAAATCATTTTAAAAAATCAGTCTATCTCAATTATTACATTTCAATTGATCTACCTCAATAGAATTTATAAGGTTGAAGTTCTAGATTCTCACTGCTGTTCACTTTGTGTCAAGACATATTCTGTGATGTCACCCCTGTATTCCCCTCTTTTATTTTTAGGGTTATTTGCCCTTGTTTTGGATTTCCCCACCACAAAAATAATATTTTGTTCTCTCAACATCTTAGGCTTCTCTTTCAACAGGTACCTATCTAACCCAGCTCATGGTCCTCAAGCTGGGAGTTCTGAAAAAAAGAGGGAATCGTTTTATTGCTATTTTACCTGCATGTGAGGAATGCTTTGACTCTGATTTTTTACGTTCTTGCTTGGGTCTCTGCAAGGTAGTGCTTTCTGGCTGACAGCTTAAGCCTTGGATCTCAAAAGAATCTACTCCCTTGTTGCCATTGCATTCTGGAATTAAATAATGCAAATGCTGGAAACACGGTCGAGGCAATGTATTGTTCAATTACTTGCCATTATTACTATTATTGCACATGGGTTTTCAATATTGTATTGCAAGGACCTGTGTGAGAGAGGTGGTGTACCAAAATTTGAGATGGCAGAGTAAAATCCAACCTTCTCCTTTGTAATCATCTGAGAAAGAGTAAGAAGGACGGCAAACATTTTAGATCACAGTAAATTTGCACAGTTGTACCAGTAATCAATGATTTTTCATTACCTTCCAGAATCTATACAAAGCTGACCTTGGGTGGCTAAAGGGTATCGGATGGTCTCCTATAGATTCACTAGACGTGGCCAAAGTCAAAAAAGCTGGAGAGATCCTGAGTGAGAACAATTACCGTCAGCACCCTTCCAAGTTGAAGTTCACCAGTTTGTCTGACTCCATGGATATGACTCTGGCAAAGAATAATGCACATATCATGAACAAGGCAAGAGTATTTTACTCATAGGCGGTGTAGCTGATGTGGCAAACATAATCCCCATGCACTTGTTTCTATAATTTTCTTTCTTACATTTATAACAGAGACTTTACACAGAAGCCTGGGAGAAGGACAAGGTGAAGATTCATGTCATGCCTGACACTCCTGAGATTCAACTGGCCAAAACGAACACACTGAACTTGAGTGATGTAAGTGTCCTTTCAGATGTGCAAAATTCATTAATTTTTCACACATCCACAGAATGGTCAATATTGCATGCAACAAAGGGAATGTTAATGCATTTCACACGAGGTGTTAGACCACTGGCTCACTGATTTCTCCAGGGGTCAATACAATTTTCTTTAGGAAGGCTGTTCTTGATTTTCTTAATGGTTATGCTTTGGTTTTCCAGGGCGTATTTTTCATTTTCACAAACCCATTTATTAGGTTGTGCCATCATGTTTTGAAAATGTCATCTGTATTTGTGTTGACATATGGGATATTTAGTTCACACAGAAACAGAATGAGAATTCATTAATATTGTCGATAATTATCAATTCTCCATTAAACTTAAAGCCATAACATACAATAAAAGCATTAATTTTCCAGACTCCACCGTGTTTCAATAGTTGTAGAGGATAGATAAATCCCCTGGGCTAGATGGGATATACCCAAGGTTACTACGGGAAGCGAGGGAAGAGATTGCTGCCCCTTTGGTGATGATCATTGCGTCCTCACTGTCCACTGGAGTAGTACCAGAAGATTGGAGGGTGGCAAATGTCATTCCCTTGTTCAAGAAAGGGAACAGGGATAATCCTGGGAATTATAGACTGGTTAGTCTTACTTCTGTGGTGGGCAAATTATTGGAGAGGATTCTGAGAGACAGCATTTATGATTATTTGGAAAAGCATTTGTTTGATTAGAAATAGTCAGCATGGCTTTGTGCCGGGCAGGTCATGCCTCACAAGCCTTATTGAATTCTTTAAGGATATGACAAAATACATTGATGAATGTAGAGCAGCGCATGTGGTATATATGAATTTTAGCAAGGCATTTGATAAAGTTCCCCACGGTAGGCTCATTCAGAAAGCAATGAGACATGGGATTCGGGGAAATTTGGCAGTCTGGATACAGAATTGGCTGTCCAAGAGAAGACAGAGGATGGTAGTAGATGGAAAGTATTCCACCTGGAGCTCAGTGACCAGTGGTGTTCTGCAGGGATCTGTTCTGGGATCTCTGCTCTTTGTGATCTTTATAAATGTCTTGGATGAGGATTTGGAAGAGTGGGTTAGTACGTTTGCCAATGACATGAAGTTTGGTGGAGTTGTGGATAGTGTGGAGGGCTGTTGTAGGTTGCAACAAGACATTGACAGGATGCAGAGCTGGGCAAAGAAGTGGCAGATGGAATTCAACCCAGAAAAGTGTGAAGTGATTCATTTTGGAAGGTTGAATTTGAACGCAGAATATAGGGTTAATGGCAGGATTCTTGGCAGTGTGGAGGAACAGAGGAATCTTGGGATCCACATCCATAGATCCCTCAAAGTTGCGACCCAAGTTGATAGGGTTGTTAAGAAGGCGTATGGTGTGTTGGCTTTCATTGGATTGAGTTTAAGAGCTGCGAGGTTATGTTGCAGCGCTATAAAACCCTAGTTAGACTACACTTGGAATATTGTGTTCAGTTCTGGTCGCCTCATTATAGGAAAGATGTGGTAGCTTTAGAGAGGGTGCAGAGGAGATTTACCAGGATGCTGCCTGGACTGGAGGGCAGGTCTTATGACGAAAGGTTAAGGGAGCTAGGGCTTTCCTCATAGGAGCGAAGAAGGATGAGAGGTGACTTGCTAGAGGTGTACAAGATGATGAGAGGCATAGATACAGTGGATAGCCAGAGACTTTTTCCCAGGGCAGAAATGACTATCATGAGGGGGCATAATTTTAGGATGATTGGAGGAAGGTATAGGGGAGATGTCAGAGGTTGGTTCTTTACACAGAAAGAGGTGGGTGCATGGAATGCACTGCCAGTGTAGGTAGTAGAGTCAGATACCTCAGGGGCATTTAAGTGACTCTTGGATAGGCAATGGACTGGTTCATCCCTTTATATCCAGTTGGTACCAGTTGTACAGATCAACTGTTCAACTGACGTTTCGGGTCTGGACCATTCTTCAGACATTTCTGAAGAAGGGTCCAGACCTGAAACATCAGCTTTCCTGCTCCTCTGATGCTGCTTGGCCTGCTGTGTTCATCCAGCTCTACACCTTGTTATCTCAGATTCTCCAGCATCGGCAGTTCCTACTATCTCTTGTCCATAGGAGCTGTTCTTTTCACATGTTGATTACGAAGCAACTGACCCTTTGTTGATCATTCTGCATTCTTTGATTGGTTTCTGGAATGCATGATTGGTTTGTGACTGGTCCAGTTTGAGCTCAATTTTATTCCAAAATATCATGTCGGTTTTCCCGTAGGTGTCTAACTACAGGATGTCCAGCCTACTTACTTGTTTTGTCTTTCGAATTTCAAACTATCTCATGAGTAGTTGTGAGACCATTTGAGCTATGAGGTTTTGTCTAGCTCAAAATCATTTGAGCAAACACAGTAGAAAAGATTCTTATTCTCGTTAGCAAGCCCAATTTTCGAGATTCATAACCCATTCTGAGGATTTTCAGCATGGGCCGGAGTGTATACTTGACAGTAGGGTAATGGAGGCATTCAGCAGGCAGGCTTGCAATTTTCGGATCCACTAGTCTTTCATATTCTTGGAGATTGGTGGGTTGGCTTTATGCTGTTGAACTGATGTCATCAAACCATTTTGAAGTATATTGCCTCCACAACATCCAGCTCTCGAGTCTGCTGCATCTTTGCAACAACTTCCAGCATATTTCTCCAGCACAGCATGTGAACGAAGACCAAATTCAACATGCCAGTAGATATGCTGGTCATCCTGCACGCAATACATTCCAGTACAAGTGCCCTGGGTGATTGTTATAATATTATATCTTCTTGATGGGCATGGGGTCAGATCTGAATCAAGGCCACCTTCATCCTGTTTTGGATGGTCCAGCCAAACATGCTGATAAGGGCACAGGGTACTGGCTGCTCAGTAAATAGATTCCTTTGGCCAGCAGTGTTAAAACTTAGAAATATATTTTAACCAGATCTTCATGTATCTAGACTATTTCCCTGTTTCACTTCATTTTTCCCACCACATCGAGCAATTTGTTGATTCCTTCCACGATCTTTGGCTGTGATGAGCATATATAGAGGCTACAGTTTTTGTTTGCTTTGCTGTTGAAGGAAAAATCAAACTAGGTGTGTGGGAGCCAACAGTACCGATCCTAACCCTAGTAATGCATTTTTAACTGTAATTGAAAAGGGGTCTCCACCAACGGTCATCAGCAAACTTACAGATCTCTTCAACACAGTTTGGCTGAAGTCAAGAACATAAAAGGAAACCACTCTCATTTTGGACGTGATGCTATAACTATTATTTCTTCCTCTCAGAAACTGTACAGACTCGCTATGATGGACGATAAAAAGAAGGGCTATGATTTACGCCCTGATGCTATCTCAATCAAAGCAGCCAAAGTATCCCGTGATATTGCTAGTGATGTGAGTGAACCTGTTAATTTTGATTCAGAGAGTTCTTTATTAACAACAGTGATGGCTATATACTTTCTTTGGAACTTAAAGTCAATGATTCAATTGACCATTACTTGTTTGACCTCTGTTTCAGTACAAATATAAAACAGCCTATCGCCAGCATCTTGGTCACCACATTGGATGCCGTGACATTCAGGATGACCCCAAGATGGTTTGGTCCATGCACGTGGCCAAGATTCAGAGCGACCGGGAATACAAGAAGGACTTTGAAAAAACAAAGACCAAGTTCAACATGCCAGTCGACATGCTGGACATCCTGTTGGCCAAGAAATGCCAGACTCTGGTCAGCGACATTGACTACAGACATTACCTGCACCAGTGGACCTGTCTGCCAGACCAGACTGATGTGATCCAGGCAAAGAAGGCCTATGATCTGCAAAGTGATGTATGTATTGGAGACCAAGAGGAATTATTATTTCTACAATAATGTCTGAAATACTATCACATTGTAACAACTGTTAGAAATAAGTGCTGCATGTACATGTTTATTATTATTAGCAATATCTTCGAGGTAATCCTGTATGGAAAAAAAAACTAGCTTGTGCATGGTTTATTCCATGAGTCCTTATTTTCTAAATTTAATCGTACATTGAAATGGAGATGGAGTCATTGTGTCATACAGAATGGAAGCAGACCTTTCGGTCTAACTAGTCCATGCATACCATTTTCCCAAACTAAACTCGTCCCATCTGCCTGCATTTGGCCAATGTGCCTCCAAATCTTTCCTTTTCATGTACTTATCCAAATGTCTTTTAAATGTTGTGACTGTACCTGCATCTATTGCTTCCTATGGCAGTTCATTCCACAGACTAACCATACTCTGTGTTTAAAAAAAATGTTGCCTTTCATGTCCTTTTTAAATCTCTCTCCTTTCACCTCCAGAATATGCTCCCATCTTAGGGAAAAGACCTTTGCTATTTACCTTATCTATGCCCCTCATGATTTTATAAACTTCTATTAGATCACCCCTCAATCTCCTACGCTCCAGTGAAAAGTATCCCAGCCTATTCCAGCCTATTTTTATAACTCAGACCCTCTATTCCTGGCAGCATCCTGGTAAATCATTTCTGAACCCTTCCCAGTTTAATAACATCCATCCAATAACAGGACATCCAGTACTCCAGAAGAGGCCTTACCAATGGCCTGTACAACCTCAACATGTCCCAATTCCTATACTCAAAAGTCTGAGCAATGAAGGCTAGCATGCTAAATGCCTTCTCAACCACCCTGCCTACCTGTGACACAAATTTCAAACAATTGTGTACCTGAACTCCTAGGTGTCTCTGTTCAGAGAGTCCTACCATTGATTGTATAAGTCCTGCCCCTGTTTGTTTACCAAAATGTAATACTGCGCATTTGTCAAATTAAATTCCATCTGCCACTCCTCAACCCATTGACCCAATTGATCAAGATCTCTTTATAGTCATAGATACCTGGGGAGGCAATGGTGTCGTGGTATTATTGCTGGATTGTTAATCCAGAGATCCAGATAAGGTCCCAGGGACCTGGGTTCAAATCCTGTCACAGCAGATGGGGGAGTTTGAATTCAGTAAAATATCTGGAGTTAAGAGTCTAATGGTGACCATCAATCCATTGCTGATTGTTGGGTAAAAACCCATCTGGTTCACTAATGTCCTTTTAGGGAAGGAAACTGCCATCCTTACCTGGTCTGGCCTACAGGTGACTCCAGGCCCACAGCAATGTGGTTGACTCTTAACTGCCCTCTGGGCAATAAATGCTGCCTAGTCAGCAATGCCCTCATCCCATAAATAAATAAAAAAAACCTTCTTCACTGTCTCCTATACCACAAATTTTCATGTCATCCACAAACCTACTAACTATGCCTCCTATATTCTCATCCAAATCATTTATATAAATGACAAACAAAAGTGGACCCAGTACCAATCCCTGTGGGACACTGCTGGTCACAGGCCACCAGTCTGAAAAACAAACCTCCAACACCACCGTCTTCTCCTACCGTAACGCAAATTTTGATTTCAATTGGCAAGTTCACGCTGAATCCCCCTGTGATCTAACTTTACTAATTAGTCCACCACGTGGAACCTTACAAAAGGCTTTACTAAAGTCCAAGTAAACAATGTCTACTGCTCTGCCCTCATCAATCTTTTTGGTTACTTCCTCAAAAAAACTCAACCAAATTTGTGAGATATGATTTCCCTCACATAGAACCATGCTGGCTATCCCTACTCACCCCTTATCTCTCCTAATGCATGAAAAATCTTTCTTTCAGAATCATCTGTTGTGATGTTAAAATGTAAACAATAATAAATAATTAATAAAATAACTGCTGTGTTCAACTTTTCCAAAGATAACCATTAAATGTAAGAATATCTGCTGAGATCAATATGTAGATAGGTTATAAAGATGTTTGACTAATGTTTGAAAGGTAGACTTTATTCTTCACAATCTTTATTAAAATTCCTAATACACTTTAAAGTTAGATTTGATGCTACAGAGGTGGATTCATCCTTTCATCAGGGTAATGTAAGGAATTGTTGATTATTGCAAACACAAGTATGAAAAAGTTCTTTGGAATGTGAAATTCATGAGTATTTTTTTCTGTACATCACCGCAGGACCATTACTGATAGCACAGACTAAACTCTAACTGTGGCCTGCTGCTCCTTTATCAATATGCCCCTGCAATGTACTGTTGTAAACTTTCATTAACAGCACTGCTGTGCAATTTTGTCAGAATTCAAGTTCAGGAAAATTCCCTTTCGACACGGCCAGTAGTTTTAAAACAGCAGGCTACCCTCTCACTTCCTATTGGTACTCCATCTGGCCCAAAGAAATTGAATTATGACAACTCATTGTGAACTCTGTAGGAAAGCATAAACTTTAATGTATTTTCTGTTACACAAATAAAGTGTGGTTCGGGACTACAACAAAATCAAATAGTTGATGAGAAAATCTTACAATTTAATAATATAACTTTTCCCCAACCCATCCCTTCAACCTTTAGCAATTTCACTTGTCTTTATTTAGATCTAACCTCACTCATACTTCACTTATTGCGAAAATGGTAAAGAATTTTTGTTGTGTTCCAGCTTCTATACAAATCAGATCTTGGGTGGCTAAAGGGTATCGGATGGTCTCCTATAGATTCACTAGAAGTGGCCAAAGTCAAAAAAGCTGGAGAGATCCTGAGTGAGAACAGCTACCGTCAGCACCCTTCCAAGTTGAAGTTCACCAGTTTGTCTGACTCCATGGATATGACCCTGGCAAAGAATAATGCTAAGACAATGAACAAGGTTGAATCACTTTGCTTTTCTTATTGCTTTGAAAATACATATTTTTCAATCAACTTATTTGGTCAATTGACATGCTAACACATGTGTATATTTTTCAGCATGCATACACCGAAGCATGGGAAGCAGACAAGACCAAAATTCACATTCTTCCAGATACACCACAAATAATATTAGCAAAACAGAATCAGATCACTTGCAGTGACGTAAGTGTGTGCAACTATTTTATGATTGAATAACTAGTAGAAGTTATGCTCAGCCTTTACCAACGCTGGTTCAGCCTCAACTGAGTACTAAATTGCATTCTGAGTGCTACTAGTTGGACAGGTTGCCAAAGAAATTTATTAGAAAGGTACATGGAATGAGGAACTTACGTGGAGAAACAGGAGTAGCTGGAATTGTTCTCCTCAGAGCAGAAACACTTGAGAGAAGATTTGATAGAGTTTTTCATATCCATGACTGATTTTGAAAGAATGAAGAGGGATAAACTGTTCCCTTTGGCAAAACGACCACAAGCCAGAAGCCACTGATTGATAAAAGCATCAGTGGCCACAGGAGAAATCAATTTAAAAAACTGGTTTATAGGATCTGGACATTGCTAGCTAGGCAGCATTTGAGGTGATGGTGTTGTGGTATCACTGGACTGTTAATCCAGAGGCCCAAGTAATGTTTTGGGGACCTGGGTTCGAAAGGTGGAAAATGAATTCAATAATAATTTGGAATTAAGGAGTCTAATGATGACCATGAATCCAGTGTTGATTGTCTGAAAAAAACCCAACTGGTTCACTAATGTCCTTTAGGGAAGGAAACTGCCATCCTTACCTGGTCTCGCCTACATGTGAATCTAGTCCCACAATAATGTAGTCGACTCTTAACTGCCCTCTGGGCATTAGGGATGGGGAATAAATGCTGTCTTGCCAGTGACATCCTCATCCTATGAATGAATAAAAAAAATCACCTTGCCCCTAATTGCTCAGAAGGAAGTTCAGAATTAAAAATTTTATTGCTGAGGATCTGGAGTCACATGTAGACCAGACCAGGTAAGGATGGCAGTTTCCTTCCCTCAAGGACCTGAGCTGTTAACAGTAATTTACAAGCATTACATATTTGCAATTAACTAGCTTTGTAACTCACTTTTTTTTCATTGAATTCAAATTTCACCATCTGCCATAGTGGGATTTAAACATATACTCTGAGAGCATTAGCCTGGGGTTCTGGATTGCTCATGCAATCATATCACCACCAATCATAACACCACTACGTCCTTTAGTTTTTTTTAACACATTGAGTTGTGATCTGAAATGCGTGGCCGGAAAGCCTGGTGAAAGCAAGTTCAACAGTAGCATTTGAAAGAGAACTAGATAAATACGTGAAGGATAAAAATACTGATCAGGCTCTTTGAAAAGAGCAATTGGAGAATGCTTAAGAAAAAGGACTGGCACAGGCACAATGGCCCAAATGGCCTCAACATTTCAGGTTGAAGGGTCACTAGACCTTTTCTTTTCTATTCATTTGTGGGATGTGGGTGTCGCTGGCTGGCCAGCATTTCTTGACCATCCCTAATTGCCCTCGAGAAAGTGGTGGTGAGCTGCCTTCTTGAGCCGCTGCAGCCCACCTGCTGTGGGTTGACCCACAATACTATTAGGGAGGGAATTCCAGGATTTTGACCCAGCGACAGTGAGGGAACGGCGATATATTTCCAAGTCAGGATGGCGAGTGACTTGGAGGGGAACTTGGAGGTGGTGGTGCTCCCATATGTCTGCTGCCCTTGTCCTTCTAGATGGAAGTGGTCGTGGTTTGGAAGGCGGTGTGTAAGGATCTTTGGTGAATTTCTGCAGTGCGTCTTGTAGGTAGTACACACTGCTGCTACTGAGCATCAGTGTTGGAGGAAGTGGATGCTTGTGGATGTAGTGCCAATCAAGCGGGCTACTTCATCCTGGATGGTGTCAAGCTTCTTGACCTGATCGGATATATCCTAGGATGTTAAAAGAAGTAGCTACAGAGATAGTGGATATACTGTCAGTAATCTTCCAAGAAAACTTAGATCTTAGAAAAGTCATAGAGGATTGGAAAACTGCCAATTTAATACCTATATTTAAAAAGGGAAAGAGGCATAAAACAGCCCAAAATGTCAGCCTTCCTGATCCTCTGATGCTGCTTGGCCTGCTGTGTTCATCCAGCTCTACACCTTGTTATCCCAGTTAGCTTAACATCTGCTTTGGGAAATTATTAGTCTATTATAAAGGATGTAATAGTAGAGCATTTAAAAATACAGAAAATCATCAAGCAGAGTCAACATGATTTTATGGAATGGAAATCATACCTGACAAATTCACAAGAATTCTTTGAGGAGCTAACAAGCAGGATAAAGGGGTAAACAGTGGATATAATATATTTGGATTTCCAGAAAATGTTTGATAAGATGCCATGCATTAGGCTGCTTAAGAACATATTAGCCGTTTGTATTGGAGATCGTATGTTGGCACAGTTAAAGGACATTTTTCAACTAATGAAAAACTGAGTTTTGGGATAAGGGGAGCATTTTCAGGATGACAACTTGTAACTAGTGGAGTGCCACCAGGATCAGTGCTGGAGATACAATATATACAATAATGACTTGGCAAAGTTTACTGCTGATACAAAAATAGGTTGGAAGGCAAATGGTCAGGATGACACAGAGTCTACAGAGGGACATAGACAGGTTAAGTGAATGGGCAAAAACTTGGCAAATGGAATATAACATAGAAAAATGTGAGGTTGTGCTCTTCGGCAGGAAGAACAGAGGAGCTGAATATTATTTTAATGGAGAAAGACTGCAGAAAGCTAAATGACAGAGAAATTTGGGAGTCGATATGTATAAATCACAAATGCTAGAATCCTTGTTCAGCACATACCAGGGAAGGCAAATGGAATGTTGGTCTTTATTTCAAAGGGAATGAAGTATAAAAATAAGGAAAATAGGGAATTGCTAAAACTTTACAAGGCAGCAGTCAGACTGCAATTGGAATGCTGTAAACAGTTTTGGTCCCCTTTACTGAAGAAAGATATATTGGCAATGGAGCAGTCCAGAAAAAGTTCACGACGTTAATTCCAGGTATGGAGGGATTGGCTTATGAGAAGAATTTGAGTAGGTTAGCCCTGTAATCATTGGAGTTTTGAAGAATGAGAGGTGACCTTATTAAAACATGGAAGTTTCTTATGGGACTTCACACGGTAGATGTGGAAAGGTTGTTTCTGCTTGTGGGAGAGTCTAGGACCACAGGGCACAACCACAGAATAAAGGGTTGCCCCATTTAAGACAGAGATGAGGAGGAATTTATTCTCTCAGAATGTAGTGAATCTGTGGAATTCCTTACCACTGAGGGCTATAGAGGTCAGGTAGTTAAGTATACTCAAAGTAGAGATCGGCTGAATGGCCTACTTCTGCTTCTGTGTCTTATGGTCTTCCAGTGTTATGCGTACACAATGAATCAGCTCATTTTTAGATGAAAATTTAACAAGCTGAAAGAACATAGTACAAAAACAGGAAGAAGTCTGTACAGCATGAAGGCAAGTCAGATGCTGAAAGACAAGAACCCACCCGAACCCTGCTCTAAAAAGTCAAATTTAGGAAGTTGCTGGAAGATTGACAATTTTGGACTTTCACTGAGCATGTTACTATTGTCCCCATAGAAACTGTACAGACTCGGTATGGAAGAGTCAAAGAAGAAAGGTCATAACTTGAATGCTGATGCCATTCCAATTAAGGCAGCGAAAGCCTCCCGAGATATTGCGAGTGATGTGAGTTGACAAATTTATCTGGTTATGGAACGCCAAATGAGAAATAGCAATACTTATCATTTTCCAAGTGTATTTACATCAAATTAAATTTAATAAATGATTGTGATATACTTTGTTTGACCTCTATTTCAGTACAAATACAAAACAGCCTACCGCAAGCAGCTTGGTCACCACGTTGGATGCCGTAACATTCAGGATGACCCCAAGATGGTTTGGTCCATGCACGTGGCCAAGATTCAGAGCGACCGGGAATACAAGAAGGACTTTGAAAAAACAAAGACCAAGTTCAACATGCCAGTCGACATGCTGGACATCCTGTTGGCCAAGAAATGCCAGACTCTGGTCAGCGACATTGACTACAGGCGGTACCTGCACCAGTGGACCTGCCTGCCAGACCAGACTGATGTGATCCAGGCAAAGAAGGCCTATGATCTGCAAAGTGATGTGAGTATATAAAAATTCAAAGTGATATGCGTTGTGTTTGCCTACTGTTAACAGAAAATTGGATGGCATTCTGAGTAGTTGATACATTGTAGCAAATCCCATCTCTACAACTCAAATCTGTAAAAGTATACATCTACACTTCCCAATTTGGGCTGGATTGGGAGTCAGATGAGGTGACCAGCAAAAAGTAGATTAAACTCCCTGATTCCCATGGCAGGCTGTGTGGGAAGACTGCCTGGGGTCTCTAACACCATGTGTCCAAATTTTAAATGAAGATTAAAACATGAAACATCTCTTCCACTCACGAAATGAGGGGCGGATCTCATTGAAACCTGTAAAATTCTAACAGGACTAGATATAGGAATGGTGTTGCCATTAATGAGAAGGTCTAGAACTAGGGTCACACTCTAAGGAAATGGGGTAAACCATTTAGGACTGAAATGAGTAGAAATTTCTTCACCCAGAGAGTGATGAACCTGTGGAATTAATTATTACAGAAAGAATTTGAGGCCAAAACATTATATGATTTCAAGAAGAAGTTGGATACAGCAGTTGGGGCTAAAGAAATCAATGAATATGAGGAACAGGCTATTGATTTGGCTGATCAGCTATGATCATAATGAATGGCGAACCAGACTCGAATAGAATAGTACTGCCCCTATTTTCTATTTTTCTATGTTTCTATCCCCTTATTTTCCTCACCCTGTTCAGTTAACTTCAACTTATGTCACCTAATGGCCCATACCTCTTCAACGACCCTGTGCCGTCCTTATTGTGTAGCTATTCTCCAAGGCCTCTTATACTCCTGTGCCAATCTAGGCACATCTACCCATATCCCATGGCCTCTCATGCCTGTGCTCCAAATCATCCCAGGGCCCAAGCCAACTAATGGAAACTCATATTCCTCACAGATATCCCTCCTCGCCTTCTCTTTCCATTCCAACTCACGTATTGTGTATCGTGGGCATAGGTCAGAAGGCTTGCTAACAGAAAATAAAATTCTATTATATCACCATAGGAAAAAAACACTTATAATACAAATAATGCAATGTGTCAATATTAATTTAACTAATCCCTATGCAAACACATATTTCAGTTAAATGTTCAGTTATCAGGATCTGTAAACAAATATTTATATTTTATAAGCTGTCAGAGCTATCCATCAAAATGCTGACTTAACAGGCACCCTAAATTGAAAATGATAGCTTGCAAAATCAACTAGCAGAATCCTAGAAAGCCTTATGTCAACCAGAGCATTGACATACTTAATGCTTTTTAAGGACAACTCCTTGGCAGCATAATCCCAGTCATCAGCAAAATGATAGAAAGGGTCATAGACGGCACTTGCTCAGTAATAGTCTGCTCAGTGATGCTCAGTTTGGATTCTGCCAGGGCTGCTTAGCTCTGGCCTAATTGTAGACTTGGTCTGAACATGGACAAAAGAGCTGAATTCCAGAGGTGAGGTGAGAATGGCTGCCCTTGACATTAAGTTTTAATTTGATATTTTGACTGAGAATGGTAAGAAGGAACCCTACCAAAACAGGAGTCAAGAAGATTTGAGGGGTATAATTTGGAGTCAAACCTGGCAGAAAGGAAGATGGTTGTGGTTATGGGAGGTCAATCTTTTTAGTCACAGTACATCATTGCTGGAGTTCCTCAGGGTAGTGTCCAAGGTTAAACATTCTTCAGCTGTTTTTTTAATGTCCTTCCCTTCAACATAAGGTCAGATGTTTACACTATGTTCAACACCATTAGCAAATCCTGATATTGAAGCAGCCCATGTCAATGTTAGACAATACCTGGACAATGTCCAATTCGGGTTGATAAGTGGCAAATAATGTTTATGCCACAAAATGCCAGGTAACAACCATATCCAACAAGAAAGAGTCCAGTCGTCTCCCCTTTAAGTTCAACGGTATTGCCAATGCTGAAACCCCCACTATCACCACCATGAGAGTTACCATTTATCAGAAACTGAACTAAGCTGATAATAGAAGCAGTCCAGATAAAATTCACTAGGCTGATGTTGTGTATGGAGGGAATGGTCGTGTGAGGAGAAGTTGAATAGGTTGGGTCTGTGTTCATTGGAATGTAGAAAATGAGAGGTGACCTGATCGAAACATATAAGATTCTCAGCGACTTGACAGGGTAGATGTTAAAATGTGGAATACAGTGTGGAATGTGAAATTAATATGTTTTCCTTAATGGGAGAGTTCAGGACCAGAAGATATAATTTCAGAATAAAGGGTCACACACTTAAGACAGAGATATAATGGAATTTCCACTCTCAGTGGGTCATATATTTGTGGAATTCTTTATTGCATAAGGCTGTAGAAATTGGGTCTTTAAGTATTTTAGAGGCTGAGACAGACAGATTTTTTTTCAGTAATCAGTAAAGGAATCATGGATTACAGGGAAAGGATAAGAAAGTGGAGTTAAGGATTATCAGGTCAGCCATGATCTCACTGAATGGCAGAGCAGACCTGATGGACTGAATAGCCTATTTCTGCTCCAATGTCTTATGTTCTTAGACTAACCATTTAAACACTGTGGCTACAAGCTCAGGTCAGAAGCTCAGATTTCTGTGTTGAGTAACCCATCTCCTGTCTCCCCACTGCCTTTCTACCATCTACAAGACACACAAGTCAGGAATGTGATTGAAAACGTTCCACTTGTCTGGATGGAGCTCCAAAAATGTTTCATAAGCATGACAACGATCCAGGACAAAACAGCCCATTTGATTGTTACCCAATCTGCCACTTTCAACATTCACTTTCTTCACCACCAATGCACAGCAGCAGCAGTATGTACCATCTGCAAAATTCATTGCAGTAACTCACCTAAGGCAGTATCTTCCAAATCTGTAACCTCTACCACTAAGAAGGACAAGGGCAGCAGATGCATAGGAACACTGCCACCTCCAACATTTCCTTCAAGCCTCTCACCATCTCAATTTGGAACTATATTGCCATTCTTGCAGTGTTGCTGGGTCAAAATCCTGGAGCTCCCTTCCAAACAGCACTGTGGGTGTCTCTACAGCCCAGGACTGCAATGGTTCAGAAGGCACCTTGCCACTACCTTCTCAAGGGCTATTAGGAATGGGTAATAAATGCAATGGTCATATTCCATGAATGACAAAAAAAGAGTTTATGCATTTCTTATACATAAGCATATCCAACTTGTCACAATTCCAAAGGGTGTCTCACCTCCACCAAAGAGTACCTTAGCTCTTCCAAAGGTGTCCTGGAATGAGATCCAAAGGGGAACTTTGGCTATCCAAAAGAATCACACTGACAACAGACCTGCTGTTAACTGGTTTAACTTGCACACTTCGGATTCCACAGTCCAGGGATCCAAAATCCAATTTCATCGGGAGTCATTTCAGTGTCAAGCCCAGCTGTCTCCAGAAGCCACATTTGTGCAAACAGCTTGCCTCCAGTCCTGGCCTCATGATGAAGAGTGATGGTAGGATCGAGGGGTGGAACTAGAGATTCCAAATTTCTTCCACTTTTGCTACGGCAGAGAAATTGGGACCTAAGTCTTTTTCAATGGATTTTCATGCATTGAATTGAATGCGTGAAATTTTGTGGTACATAATTAAATAGAGGACACGGAAGAAAAAATTGGCAGCTTCTTTGTTTTGATTGCATTGCTAGTTTTCTCTATTAAGAACAAACTTTAAAAAGCCACTATATAATATAATCCCAGTTTCACAAGATAAAACCACTGATAATTCAGCTGCAAAAATCATTTGCCTTATTAAATCCTTTGCCTTATTAAATCCAGAAGGTAATTCTCTTTCCTCTCAGAGTTATATCCTTTTGGAACAAAGTGTTTTCCATGACTCGACTCATTTTCATGCCTATTTTTGAGGTGTTTATTCCTGTAACAGATGTGTATGTTTTCTGAAATAAGGCCTAAAGCACAGAAACTTTAAATAGGATCATTGCTCTCCTGATCAGTCTTAGCATTTTAAGCCCCTCCATGCTTCAATGTTGTGGCAAGATCAGATCTTGCAAACTGAACCCTTGGTAATCGAAAAATGCATAAGCTCCATAAAACAGTCAGATGTGCTTTAGGCACAAGACTCATGCAGTATTATAGTACCTTTATCTTTTTGGTGATTTGTCTAAGTTATCAGTAAAGAGTTAAATAATTTAATTAAATATTTCAGTAGTTTGTAGCAGAGCTACTTGCAATCAACAATTCTGAGTTAAGAAACAACAGCTTGTTGTTTTTGTAATGTGCTATATTTCTCCATTATTATACTCATCTTCAATGACAGAATGCTAAATCAGTGTTGCATTAAAGTTTCTAAAATAAAAAGATAGTCTTGGCAATAATTCATATAAATTGTGTTTGGTAAACTGGGCAAAAGTGGTCTTTGATTGCAATGAATGTCATTGGAAAATGTTTGGCAATATAATCTAAGATTTTTTTTCATTTGTGTGACACAGATCCAATACAAGGCTGATCTTCAGTGGCTAAAAGGCATTGGCTGGATCCCAACTGGATCTCTGGATGTTGAAAAGGCCAAAAAAGCCAGCGAAATTCTTAGTGAGAAAAACTACCGTCAGCCTCCAAGCACTTTCAAGTTCACCAGTTTGCTCGATTCCATGCCTTTAGTCCTTGCAAAGCATAATTCAAACACTCTTAACCAGGTAATGTGCTTTTTAATGCAAGAAATTGCCTTCATTGTTATATGCTTTCAAGTCTTTCTTATCTTCTATACTTTGTGGGTGTTGGTTAGCTCAGTTGGCTGTTTGGTGTGTTTGTAATGCATGGTGATACTAACATTGCAGTTTCAATTTCTGCATTAGCTGAGGTTTTCCTGAAGGTCCCACTTTCTCAACATTACCCCTTGCCTGAGGCATGGTGACCCTCAGATTAAACTTCACCATCAGTCATCTCTCTCTAATGAGAGAGCAGCCCTGTGGTCCAATAGAACTATGGTGACTTTATCTTTTACGTTGTAAGCAGATTTCTTTATAACTAACACAAGGTTCTGACAAATATTAAGAGGCTGTGAACAGTGTAATTCCCTCACTTTAATCTCTGGAGAATAAGAAATACCCATTAAGCATGCATGCATCAGATATATCACAATTAATTGACAAATTTGTTTATGAATGTTTTACTCGGGCCACTGCATCAATTTTTTTTAACGAATAAGTTAATCTCTTTGCAGCGTTTGTACACTGAGGCATGGGAAAAGGATAAGGTTCAGATCCATATTATGCCAGATACACCAGAGATATTGCTGGCAAGCCAGAACATGATAAATTATAGTGACGTGAGTATATAAAATTGATTTTTTTTTAAAAAAAAGCAACTATTCCATCTACTCTGATATAATACTGCACTTACTTACAATTCTTATGTCTAGAAACAATATCGACTTGCGCTGGAAGAATCAAAGAAAAAAGGATATGATCTACGCCCTGATGCCATCTCTATTAAGGCTGCCAAGGCTTCAAGAGACATTGCCAGTGATGTAAGTCTTTTTGTTATAATTTTATTTGAAATTGATTAATTTTTGGGACATTTATTTCAGATTTTCCTTCATTTCTATTTTTGTCATTTTTTAAAACACCTAATGGGTACACTTACAATGACAATTTTATTTTTAACAGTACAAATACAAATCAGACTACCGCAAGCAGCTTGGCCACCACATTGGATGCCGTAACATTCAGGATGACCCCAAGATGGTTTGGTCTATGCATGTGGCCAAGATCCAGAGCGACCGGGAATACAAGAAGGACTTTGAGAAATCAAAGACCAAGTTCAACATGCCAGTCGACATGCTGGACATCCTGTTGGCCAAGAATTGCCAGACTTTGGTCAGCGACATTGACTACAGACGGTACCTGCACCAATGGACCTGTCTGCCCGACCAGACTGATGTGATCCAGGCAAGGAAGGCCTATGATCTGCAAAGTGATGTGAGTACCTTGCTATAAACGTGAAAACTCCATTTAAAATTCCTGAGAAGTAGTTAATTTGAAATATCTTTGAAAATTCTTGAGAGGTTGGTAAGGAAGTCTGAAGAATCACATTCTTTATAGTCATGAATATAATAGGGCATTGATCCTGCTCAGTTGACCATCCTATAAAAGAATTAAAGGAGAATGGTGAATATTTCATCAAACTGATGTTCTTATTGGGCCCATATCTAAGGAAGGATGTGCTGACATTGGAGAGAGTTCAGAGGAACTTTACAAGAATGATCCCAGGGATGAAGCACTTGTCATATTAGGAGCGGTTCAGGACTCTGACTCTGAACTTGGTGGAGTTTAGAAAGGATGAGGGGGGAGCCTCATTGAAATTTTGTAGGACACTGAGTGGCCCAGATTGAGTAGATTGGAGAAGATGTACCATTTGTAGGCGAGACTAGGATGTGAGGGCACAGCCTCAGAGTGAAGGGACAGCCCTTTGGAACTGGGATGAAGGGGAGTTTCTTCAGCCAGTGGGCGGTTAATTGGTGGAACTCATTACCTCAGAAGGCTGTGTAGGCCAAGCCATTGAATGTACTTTAGACGGAGATAAGTTCTTGATTGGTAAGGAGGGTTCAAGGGCTATGGAGGGAAGGCTGGAGAATGGAGTTGAGAAACATATCGGCCACAATTGAATGGTGAAGCAGACTCAATCTAATTATGCTCTTGTATCTTGTGGCCTTATAGTCAATGGATTATCGTTCCTGAAGGATTATCAGCCCCTAGTCATATGGAAAGCTGACCCAATTGATTGAAGTACTTCCTAATAATATAAAAATAATTTGAATATCTGCAGATGTTTGCCAACAAAGGTGGGCGATATATTTCCTCTCAATCAATATTCAGTTGATCATTGTATTGAAGACAGGTGAGAAATGGGCCAGAGTGGATTCTCATTGATGGTGAATTCAAACGTTTGGTTGGTATTGCTGGATCATCATTCATTTTAGTATTTATATGTCAATTTACAAATAATATTAGACTAAGCCTGTATATTTTCAAGTGAAGTTCAAAAAGTTCTCCTTCAAATAATATTAAATACAAGGTTGGGGACAGAATTTAAGGAATAAGTTTATTCTTGCATTGGTTACAAAGTGACCTGTGAGAGATATACACACAGTACGAAACACTATTAAAATGGTAATTGGACCTGTATTCCATTTTGAACACACAAAACAAAAGATCGTATTTCAGAAATTGCTGAAGAAGGGTCACTGGACCTGAAACATTAACTCTGTTTTCTCTCCACAGATGCTGCCAGACCTGCTGACTTTTTCCAGCAATTTCTGTTTTTGTTTTGATGATGTGGAGGTGCTGGTGTTGGATTGGGGTGGACGAGGTCAGAAGTCACATGACACCTGGTTATGGTCCAACAGATTATTTGAAATCACAAGCTTTTGGAGCATTGCTCTGTCGTCAGGTGAGGTGAAGAAAAGCACACAGGTAGAGAATTTATCGGCGGAGAGATCAAAAGATCACACAAATGGTGTGAGTTGAGTGTCGACATACTGAATAATAAGTCACTGCAGGTGATCATAAGTGCCAGACGGAGTGAATAAAGTATCAGCAGCAAAATAGCAAGTGAAGGGATGACCTATAATCCAATTAATTGAGACAGAGAGATAATTTTTAAAAATTAAGAAATAAGGTAGTTCTGGAGAAAAACGGAATGCCTGGAATAACATGAGAGGTATAAGTGTCACATGCTGAGGGTCGAAACAAAGTTATGAGTAATCCAAAACCGTACAAACTAATTTAATCCATTCACTTGCTATTCAGCTGTTGACACTTTACTCACAATGTCTGACACTTTAATCACCTGCAGAGACTTATTATTCAGCCTATTGACACTCCACTCAAACCATTTCTATGATCTAATGATCCCTCTGCCTATTGATCTCTCTGCCTATAAATTCTCTACCTGTGTGCTTTTCTTCACTTCACCTGATGAAGGAGCAGGGCTTCGAAAGCTTGCGATTTCAAATAAAGCTGTTGGACCTTAACCTGGTGTCCTGTGACTTCTGTTTTTGTTTCAAAAGACAAAGGTGTTGTTAATAACTGGAGAATGCTAAAAGGGTGTAAATTAAGGTGTGAAAGGGAGAGAATTGGTCCTTTCTACTCGGTGCAAAGTAAACATTACACAAAATTGAAAAGAAAACTAAACAACTGCACATGCTGGTAATCAGAAACAAAAACAGAAATTTCTCAGATGGAAATCCAGGCAGGTGTGGTGGCATCTGTGGAGACAAAGCAGAGGGAGCATTTCAGGTCCAGTAACCATTCTTCAGAACAAACACGACAAGGCTGCAGAACGTTCTCAAGGGGGAGGGTGAGCAGCCAGAAGTCATTGTGCATGTTGGCACAACTGACATAGGTGGAAATAGGGATGAGGTCCTGAGAAGTGATTATAGAGATCTAGGAAAAATGTTAAAAACCAGGATCATGACGGCGGTAATCTCCGGATTACTTCCAGTGCCATGCGTCAATGAGGGTAAGAACAGGAGGATATGGCAGATGAATGTGTGGCTAAAGAATTGGTGTAGGGAGGCAGGGATTCAGATTCCTCGATCATTGGGATCTTTTCTGGGGAAGAGGTGACCTGTTCAAGAGACCCTGAACTGGAGGGGGACCAATATCCTGGTGGGTAGATTTGCTAGTGCTACGAGGGAGGGTTTAAACTAGATTGGCAGGGGGGTCGGATCCTCAACAGCAGGGAGGCAAGTGTGAGGCTGGAAGGAGATACAGTAATCAGAAATAGCACGTTGAAATGACAGGTCAGGCTGGAACAGGACAGGGAGCGAGAATGCCTGTTGGATTAAATTGCATCTGTTTCAATGCAATTTAGGGTAAGAGGGGAAAGAATACATGGGAACCTGAGGAGCAACCTTTTTACACAGAGGGTGGTACACATATGGAATGAGCTGCTAGCAGAAGTGGTTGAGGCATGTTGATTAACAACATTTAAAATGACTTTGGACGAATACATGGATAGGAAAGCTTCAGAGGGATGTGGGCCTAGTGCAGAGAAATGGGGTTCGCGTGGTTGAACATTTTGGTTGGCATGGACCAGTTTGGGCTGAAGGGCCTGTCTCCATGCTGTAGGACTCTATAACTCTATGACAGTAAGTATTCTTCAGTTCTGAAACAGAGTTATATCACGTTCAAAATGTCAACTCTCTTTCTGTCTCCACCGATAGACCTGCTCCGTTTATCCAGCATGTTCTGTTTTTATTTCCAATTTCCACTTTCCACAATATTTTGCTTTTATAGAGATGGTATTGGTTGCATTGATGTTACTGGATGTATTCAATTTATCTTCATGTTCTATGCGTGTTATACCAATTGTAAGTATCAAGTTAGCAGTTACAATTTTCATTGTCTTCCAGAATTTGTACAAAGCTGACCTTGGGTGGCTAAAGGGTATCGGATGGTCTCCTATAGATTCGCTAGACGTGGCCAAAGTCAAAAAAGCTGGAGAGATCCTGAGTGAGAACAATTACCGTCAGCACCCTTCCAAGTTGAAGTTCACCAGTTTGTCTGACTCCATGGATATGACCCTGGCAAAGAATAATGCACAGATCATGAACAAGGTTAGGTTTATTTTTCAATTAATTGTCAAATGTACTTTAAATATTACCCGTTAAATAAGCAATCTTTGTGCTTATAATTTCTTTTCCTTAGCGCGCATACATCGAAGCCTGGGAAGCAGACAAGACTAAAATTCATGTCATGCCAGATACTCCAGAGATAACGTTGGCGAGACAGAACCAGATGACCTGCAGTGATGTAAGTCTCTGAAATCATTTTTAGTGACACTTCCTTCCTATGTTAGTCTTTGTTGCACACACAATCCTGTTGATGCAAATTATGCTGAAAATGCAGACAACCAGATGGTGGAACCTTAAAATCATTCAATTACACTGACATCTATTATATAGCATGCACCTGCAACAATATGGAAACCCTCATTCAAATGATAGTGGCAGCCTGGAGGTCCTGTCCATATGGGGGTGGGGAAAGAAGATAAGTTACAAGTCATGTCATAATGTCAAATGTTCCAACTTTACTCATAAAAGCAAATGGCTACAGATGTTCCTGCATACATTTATAGCAGCAGGGGTGAGTCACCAGTTCATACTCACCATCTCAATACAACACCCAATGGATGACCAATTAACAAGAGGGATACCAGACCTGAAATGTGAAAACATTGATGAGTTTTGCCTAGCCTTACATTGGCAACAATTTCTTCACCTCCATTGCAAAGCCAAACTACATAAGGTTAGGTTGGATTTCTCCCTCCAGAATGTGGGGAATTGGGCTTTCTACCTATCAACTTGCTGGAACTGACTAAAAAGTCTCTTTCTTTTGCAAGTGTACGATGGGTTTCTGGTAGTTTTCCTGCTTGCATCAGGAGCCAGCCTCGTTTATATAGATCTCGTTTGGAGATATAGAAAAGTGGAGGCTGTAGGCATCAGCTGCCATCCAGTGTCTTGGGCAATAGCAGAAACCTCTAAATTTCATCAGTAGAGGGAGTGAACAAATTAATCTTTGTTGATTGTACTCCATTTGGTAGGGGTGTGAGAAAGGCAGAACAAGTAACTCGTATAATATTTACAGCACTGGAAGCTGGATATCTGGTTTAGGCCAGTATTGTTTGTCTTGGGTATAAATAAGGTTGTAAAGTTGAATCAAATGCAGAGAATGCTGGACAAACTGTCAGCAGGTCTGGGTGCATCTGTAGAGAGAAACATGAAGATTCAAGTCTGGTATGACTCTTCTTCAGAACTGAAGATTCATTTTGGACTCAAAATATTAACCCTCTCCAGTTGTTGCCGTACCTGCTGAGTTTCTCCAACATTTTGAAACTGTTTGAGATGCCCAGCATCTGTAGCCATTTGCTTTTGTGAGTAAATTGGAACATTTGACATTATGACATGACTTGTAAGTTATCTTTTTTCCCCACCCCCATATGAACAGGACCTCCAGGCCGCCACTATCATTTGAATCATTCAACTACAAAGGATATTGTTTCTTGGGCAGGGATTTGGTATTTAATATTCTGATTCAACCTTACTGCAGCTTCTACTTCAGGTCTACTTGAAATATGACCCATCTTTATCTGGATTCTGAATCAAGTTCAGAACATTATGTGAGCATGTTCTCAACTGATGTTGGGGCACATACACATACACATGATTATTGGCTAAGAGAGCTACATTTTTCTTTTTTTTTTCTTTATTCATTCATGGGATGAGGGCATCACTGGCTAGGCAGCATTTATTGCCCATCCCTTATTTCCCAGAGGGCAGTTAAGAATCAACCACATTGCTGTGGGTCTGGAATCACATGTAGGCCAGACCAGGTAAGGATGGCAGTTTCCTTCCCTAAAGGACATTAGTGAATCAGATGGGTTTTTCTGATAATCGACAATGGATTCACGGTCATCATTAGATTGTTAATTCCAGATATTTATTGAATTCAAATTCCACCATCTGCATTGGCGGGATTTGAACCTGGGTCCGCAGAACATTATCTGGTTCTCTCGATTGACAGTCCAGCAATAATACCACTAGCCCATTATCCTGGCTCTCAGTTATGTCCAAAATTTTTCTCATTTGCCTGATGATCCTGTGCTCAGTGTCTCCTCCTTCGTGCCCCTGTTCCCTCTCCTCGGCCCTTCTGAAGCCCAGAGATCTGCCATTCTGACATGGGTAGCTTCTCTTCATCACTAATGGTTAAAGTTTCTGAGAGTGTAAAACTTATCTGTGGCTTAACTATTGCTGGTGCTAAGGTGGAATACAAGTATCTGTGTGCACTGTCCCAGTGCCTAGGCAATACTGGGGATTGGTAAGGGAGGGGGTGGTTGTCAAGATTCATGACTATTTTATAACTTTTCTGGCCTCTATGAAAGGCTACAGTTTTTGTTTGCTTTGTTTTTGAAGGGAAAATTAAACTAGGTGTGTGGGAGCCAACAGTGCCGATCCCAACCTTGGTAATCCTTTTTAACTGTAATTGAAAAGGGGTCTCCACCAACGGCCATCAGCAAGCTTACAGATCTCTTCAATACAGTTTGGCTGAAGTCAAGAACATAAAAGGAAACCACTCTCTTTTTGACCTGAAGCTATAACTATTATTTCTTCCTCTCAGAAACTGTACAGACTCGCTATGGAGGAGGATAAGAAGAAGGGCTATGATTTACGCCCTGATGCTATCTCAATCAAAGCAGCCAAAGCATCCCGTGATATCGCTAGTGATGTGAGTGAACCTGTTAATTTTGATTCACAGAGTTCTTTATTAACAACAGTGATGGCTATATACTTTCTTTGGAACTTAAAGTCAATGATTCAATTGACCATTACTTGTTTGACCTCTGTTTCAGTACCAATATAAAACAGCCTATCGCCAGCAGCTTGGTCACCACATTGGATGTCGTGACATTCACGATGACCCCAAGATGGTTTGGTCCATGCACATGGCCAAGATTCAGAGCGACCGGGAATACAAGAAGGACTTTGAGAAAACAAAGACCAAGTTCAACATGCCAGTCGACATGCTGGACATCCTGTTGGCCAAGAAATGCCAGACTCTGGTCAGTGACATTGACTACAGACATTACCTGCACCAGTGGACCTGTCTGCCAGACCAGACTGATGTGATCCAGGCAAGGAAGGCCTATGATCTGCAAAGTGATGTGAGTACTTTGCTAAAACTGTGAAAATACTTTTGATAAATATTGCAACGTTTGTGGGAAAAGTCGAGGAATTCTGTTCTTTTAATGATGAATTTACAATGGTGTAGTTTGAATCGGTTTACTGTTGTATCAGAGGCATAAAAGTGAGTGATGAATATTTGACAGTATTCACACAGTGATTGCAGTGATTAGCCCTTTGAACGACATCTAACCACTTTAGAAAACATTCAATGCTTTGGTTTCAATTGCTTTCTGCAGCAGAGAATTCTAGAGGCTTACCATTGTCTGGGTGAAGAGGTTTCTGCTCATCTCAATCCTAAATGGATTTCCTGCATCCTTAGAGTGCGACCCCTGGTCCGGACTCCCCAGCCAAAGGGCCATCCTTCTTGTGTTTATCTTGTCTCGTCCTGTTAGAATTTAATAAGTTTGTAAATCCATGCTGACTCTGTTCAATCCTGTCACTGTTTTCCGAGTGAGTATATTTCCCTCTATATAAGTGAAAGCAACTATTATAAATGTGAACTTGGAATCCTTATCTATAATTCTACTCTCAATTCTACATTTAACTTTATTGAAAGGAGAAGCACCTCTTGAACTTTTGCTTGAAAATATTATTTCACTCTCAGGGTAAATAGGATTATTTCTGATTTTTCTGATTTTGTTTTTAGACTAAAGAGAAAAGGTGCAAATCAGGAAATGTAGCTTTGTTGTGTAAGCTGTTACAATAAAGAAAATTGGCTTGGAAGCATAGACAAATGCCTCATGGACTCAGTTGTGCCATCCTGTATAAATCAGAAGCTAGTGTTCCTTCAGCCACATTTCATGATCTGAGTAATTAACTTGTGCTGTCAGTCCAGTGGAGGACTGAGCGAGTGTTGCCATTTTAATGACCTATTAAACTGAGATCCTACATGGCTGTTCTGGTGGCTATTAGTGAACTTGTGGGGTTAATGAAAAACAGCAGGAAATTCTGAAAATGACCTACCCAACTTTGCTTCCTCAAGCATCACCATCAAAACATTGCAACTGACCATCCGTCTTACTCTTCCTTTCAAATTCTACTTACAAAACAGCAGTCATTACATTTCAAATGTAGCCGTAATGCTAACTGGTTTTTTTAGAAACTTGTTTTACATATTCAAGTCTTTCAGTAACACAGCAATGAGGTTTATGGTTGTTTATTTTTAATAATGGTTTGCTCTACGGCCTGATTATTAATGATGTCAGTTGCATTGATGTTACTGGATGAACAAAACTGACCTTATGACATCTGTTTAGTCAATTTCAAGCATTTGGTTAGCAGCTGTTCATGTCACTAACACCTTTCATTGTCTTCCAGAATTTGTACAAAGCTGACCTTGGGTGGCTAAAGGGTATCGGATGGTCTCCTATAGATTCACTAGACGTGGCCAAAGTCAAAAAAGCTGGAGAGATCCTGAGTGAGAACAATTACCGTCAGCACCCTTCCAAGTTGAAGTTCACCAGTTTGTCTGACTCCATGGATATGACCCTGGCAAAGAATAATGCACAGATCATGAACAAGGTTAGGTTTATTTTTCAATTAAATGACAAATGTACTTTAAATATTACCCATTAAATTAACACTCTTTGTGCCATTAATTTTTTTTCCTTAGCGCGCATACATCGAAGCCTGGGAAGCAGACAAGACTAAAATTCATGTCATGTCAGATACTCCAGAGATAACATTAGCAAGACAGAACCAGATGACCTGTAGTGATGTAAGTCTCTGAAACCATTTTTAATGACACTTCCTTCCTGTGTTAATCTTTGTTGTACACACAATCCTGTTTATGGAAATAGGGCTGAAAATGCAGACAGCCAGGTCATGGAGGTAGAGTCCTGGGGACTGGTGTAAAGTCATTTTGAGGCTTTCATTTACATGGACTCACATTGTATCTTGTACACATAATGAGAAAAAAGGCCTCTTTGAAGCTGCTCCTATGTCTATATATAAATGAGCAGTGGTCAATCCCAATTGGTACCCAGCATATGTGATGCATAGAATCCCTGTAGTGCAGGAAGAGGCCATTTGGCCCACCAACCCAATCACTAACCATTCCACTGAACCCCCCATCCTATTGCTATAACCCCACATTTACCATGGCTAATCAACATAGCCTGCACATTCCTCGACACTACATATAATTTAGCATGGCTTACCCACCTAACCTAAACACATCTGGACTGTTGGAGGAGACCACAAGATGCAGCAGTAACCTGTGCAGAAAGGGAGAATGTGCAACTCCACACAAATGGTTGCCCCAGGCTAGAATTGAACCTGGGTCCCTGGCATTGTGAGGCAGCAGTGTTAACCACTGAGCCACCACGCTGCCTAAATAACACCCAACTAATGTACAATTAACTACATGAGGCATTAAAGGTTTGAAATGCGAGAAAGAAAAAGTGACAAACAGCAAGTATTTTTGCCAAGCCTCTTGCTAGCAGTCTTTTCCACACAACTGCAAATAGGAAACACAAAAACTTTGGTAGCAGCTCTGCTGCCAAAACAATCATAGAGTCATACAATGCAAAAGAGGCTCTTTGGCCCCTGTGTTGGAGTGGGCTTGCTGACACATCAACTCACTGCACTGGCTCAAAAGGCCTCTCTAGCAATTCTCTGATCAGATTTCTGATTGGGTTTCTGACTGTTTTCCTGGCTGCATCAGGACTTGGTATATCAGGGTGTTGCCATGGGAAGTGCAGCAAGGATTGGCAGTCTTCATGATCTGTGTCACAATTATATGATAAGTGAGTTTCAGTATGTGTGTGATGCTGGGCCTGTAGGTCATTCACCATCCCAATAACTGCCAGACTGCATCAAACAACATGTCCCTGTGACCACTCATAGCAGGCAGTGTACTTATATTACTTAACTGACCTAGGCTTGCAAACCTCAGAAAGCTGCATTCAACATTAGAAGTGTTTCTGCTATTGGACAATATTTATTGGATAATAGTGACTGTGCTAAGAATTATTACAAAAACCAGTCTAAGATGATCAGTTGGGCTTACAATGTGTTTCATTTGTGTGTGTTAGAGATTACACATATGAATATACAGCACTCTGTTCTCTGTAGGCAAAAGGAATTCCTCAATACATTGTCCTTCCTAAGCGAAAGAGGTACAAAGAACTGCAGATGCTGGAGACATGAAACAAAAACAGTTGATATTTCTTGATTCTACTCCCATTGAAGGATGTGGAGGATATATCGGGTTATTAATTCCTATGATATTTGCAACACACAAGGAATGCTAGCCACCTGTTCTGGGACAGTATTGTTAGGTTCGGGTGTAAGTGACTTATTAAAGTTGGAAACTCTGACAGACATATATAAACTTGCAAATTACTTTTCCTTATTTCCCTATCCGTCTGACCTGCCATCATCATCTGAAGCACACAATTGATCACAAAGGGTGGTTTCATGAGGGAGGATTTAGTTTTCACATTCCCACTCAGTTTGAAATGATTGTCCACTTCAGAACCACCTAAAAATGACAAAAGTTTTGACCAAAGAGTTTAGAATTCAACTGCAATCAGTATCAGGTCCCCAACCTAAACTGTTCCAAATATTGCACACATTCATTTGGTAGTCCCCTAAGTTGAGGTCAACAGGAGAGTTACTGGAAAATTTAAAAAAAAAATTGTTCTTGAAATCTGTATGTCAGTACCTTACAGCGTGAAAGACCTCAAGGGTGGGAGGTTTCACGTGTCTGAAGTCTATCTGATTAGCTTGGGTGTGGTTCAGATCTACCCTGCTGAAAATGCTGGAAGGTTTAGCTAAAGAGGCTCGTTCTGATCAGAGAATCACAGAATTATGACTGTGCGGACAGTGGCCATTCAATCTAACACACCTGCATCGGCTCTATTAACTAGTACCAATCTGCTGCCTTTTTCCCAATATCCCTCCAAACTCCTTACCTACTCTGTCCAGCCTACTCATGATTTTGAAAACCTGGATCAGATCTCCTCTCAGCCTTCTTCTATGTAGACAGAACAGTCCCAACTTCTTCCATCTATTCTCATAGATAAAATTTCTCATACCTGGGACTATTTTCATAAATTATTTCTGCACTCCAATGCATTTCCACCTTTCCTGTATTGTGGCATCCACAGCTATACATAAAACTCTAGCTGAAGTCTAACACTGTTTTGCACAACTTCAACATCATCTCCTTGCTGTTGTACTCTGTATCCCTATTAATAAGGCTGAGAAAACTGTATTCTTTCTTTTACTACTCTCTCCACCATTAATCACCTTTGATGATCTGTGCTGATGACAGGAATGCCATGATCCAACTCCTAAGGAAATGGGTTCCTGGTACAATATATGGTGGCGCACCTTCTCCATTCCCCTCTTTATTCTCTTGGGAAGTAAAAACAAAGTTTGTTTTTTGCTATAAAACCATACCCATCGAACAACAATCAATCCATGTAACTGAATCCAGCCATTCTTAGACCCTTTTCGTAAATCTGTTTTGAACCCTCCCTAAAGCTTTCAGGTCTTTAGCTTCCTAAAGTGCATTGCCCAGAATTTAACATCCTGGATTTTTTTTTCCTATTTTTATTCTAAGTGGGGATCAGGTTTCTTTACTAATAAGACCTCCCCCAGTCTGCACCATTTGGGAAATCCCACTGGATCAAGAGCTAATCAAGCACAGAAGCGTGACTCGAGCTTCATAGCCAATTAGTCCCTGAGGTAGCAATGACCAAACATCCCTGAAGTTGCTAACCAACCAGAGACCAGCAGCCACTGTGTGAAACACAGTGCGGGTTGCACAGTGAGTAATGAAGAAGAAAAGGAACAGCAGGAAGCTAAGTCCCATTTTAGAGGGGATTGTATTCAATTCTAATCACTTGCTGAACCTGCATAATAACATTTTTAATTTCATGCATGAGGACACCCAGACCCCTCGAATCTCAGAGCTCTGTAATCTCTTACTATTTAGAAAATGTGCTTTTTTTTATTCTTCCTGCCAAAATAGACAAATTCACATTTTCTTACCTTATACTCCATTCACCACACATTACCTACCCCCTTAACCTAGCTATACCTTTCCGTAACCTCTGAGTCATCTTCACAACTTACTTTCGTACCTTTCTTTGTGTTGTCAGCAGTAACTGTACTTTCCATCCTTTCATCCAAGTCATTTATATAATTGTAAATATAGAAGAAATCCTCCCTGGCCTGGAAACTGATGCTTTGAGGCTTGCTTCTCCACCATAGAAACAACATAAACCTGGTCTTCAGTCAGTGATAAGCATGCATAAGAATGCATCAGGATGGCAGTTTTCCATAGGCCTTCCTTTTGAAGGGCAAATCAAATTGGGTGCCACTGCATAGGAGCTAAAAGTGCCCATCCCAATCTCAACAATGCCTCCTTGATGGTTATGGGAGAGGTGATGGCCTAGTGGTATTATCACTGGACTGTTATTCCAGAGACCCAGATAATGTTCTGGAGACCTGGGTTCAAATCCTGCTATGGCAGATGGTGGAATTTGAATTCAATAAATATCTGGAATTAACAATCTAATGATGACCATGAATCAATTGTCGGGAAAAACCCATCTGGTTCACTAATGCCCTTTAAGGAAGGAAACTGCCACCCTTACCTGGTCTGGCCTACATGTGACTCCAGACCCACTGCAATGTGGTTGACTCTTAACTGCTCTCTGGGCAATAAATACTACCTAGCTAGCAACGCCCTCATCCCATGAATGAATAAAAAAAAATTCAAATGAGATCTCTCCTCCCTAGTTTTGTCTAAGTCAATAACACAGAAGGAAACCATTCTTGGTTTGGCCCTGACGCTATAACTATTATTTCTTCCTCTCAGAAACTGTACAGACTCGCTATGGAGGAGGATAAGAAGAAGGGCTATGATTTACGCCCTGATGCTATCTCAATCAAAGCAGCCAAAGCATCCCGTGATATCGCTAGTGATGTGAGTGAACCTGTTAATTTTGATTCACAGAGTTCTTTATTAACAACAGTGATGGCTATATACTTTCTTTGGAACTTAAAGTCAATGATTCAATTGATCATTACTTGTTCGACCTCTGTTTCAGTACCAATATAAAACAGCCTATCGCCAGCAGCTTGGTCACCACATTGGATGCCGTGACGTTCACGATGACCCCAAGATGGTTTGGTCCATGCACATGGCCAAGATTCAGAGCGACCGGGAATACAAGAAGGACTTTGAGAAAACAAAGACCAAGTTCAACATGCCAGTCGACATGCTGGACATCCTGTTGGCCAAGAAATGCCAGACTCTGGTCAGCGACATTGATTACAGACATTACCTGCACCAGTGGACCTGTCTGCCAGACCAGAACGATGTGATCCAGGCAAAGAAGGCCTATGATTTGCAGAGTGATGTGAGTACTTTGCTTATAAACATGAAAATTCCATTTAAAATTCCTGAGAAGTTGTTAATTTGGTATATTCATATTTAAAGATCCAAATGTATGTGACGGTGTGGTAAAAGAGACCATTACAAGAGCTGACCAAAATGTCAAGATTTGAATCAAGTTGTAAACTCTGATATAGTAGGAACTGCAGATGCTGGAGAATCTGAGATAACAAGGTGTGGAGCTGGATGAACACAGCAGGCCAAGCAGCATCAGAGGAGCAGGAAGGCTGATGTTTCGGGCCTAGACCCTTCTTCAGAAATGGGGGAGGGGAAGGGGGATCTGAAATAAATAGGGAGAGGGGGGAGGAGGATAGAAGATGGATAGAGGAGAAGATAATTGGAGAGGAGACAGACCGGTCAAAGAGGCGGGGATGGAGCCAGTAAAGGTGAGTGTAGGTGGGGAGGTAGGGAGGAGATAGGTCAGTCCAGGGAGGACGGTTCCCGCAACTCATCCCTCAGACCCCCTCCCCGCAATAACAACCAAAACAGAATCCCCCTTGTCCTCACGTACCACCCCACCAACCTCTGGATCCAACGCATCATCCTCCGACACTTCCACCATCTGTAATCCGACCCCACCATCAAAGACATTTTTCCCTCCCCACCCTTATCTGCTTTCCGGAGGGACCACTCTCTCCGTGACTCCCTTGTCCGCTCCACACTCCCCTCCAGCCCCACCTCACCCGGCACTTTTCCCTGCAACCGCAGGAAGTGCTACACCTGGCCCTACACCTCCCACCTCAACCCCATCCCAGGCCCCAAGAAGACTTTCCACATCAAGCAGATGTTCACCTGCACATCTGCTAACATGGTATACTGCATCCGCTGTTCCCGTTGTGGCCTCCTCTATATCGGGGAAACCAAGCGGAGGCTTGGGGACTGCTTTGCAGAACACCTACGCTCGGTTCGCACTAAACAACTGCACCTCCCAGTCGCAAACCATTTCAACTCCCATTTCGCAGACGACATGTCCATCCTGGGCCTCCTGCAGTGCCACAACGATGCTACCCGAAGGTTGCAGGAACAGCAACTCATATTCTGCTTGGGAACCCTGCAGCCCAATGGTATCAATGTGGACTTCACAAGCTTCAAAATCTCCCCTCCCCCTACCGCATCCCAAAACCAGTCCAGCTTGTCCCCGCCTCCCTAACCTGTCCTTCCTCCCACCTATCCCCTCCTCCCACCTCAAGGCCCACCCCCATTTCCTGCCTACTAACCTGATCCTGCCCCCTTGACCTGTCCATCCTCCCTGGACTGACCTAACCCCTCCCTAACTCCCCACCTACACCCACCTTTACTGGCTCCATCCCCGCCTCTTTGACCTGTCTGTCTCCTCTCCACCTGTCTTCTCCTCTATCCATCTTCTATCCGCCTCCCCCCTCTCCCTATTTATTTCAGATCCCCCTTCCCCTCCCCCATTTCTGAAGAAGGGTCTAGGCCCAAAACATCAGCCTTCCTGCTCCTCTGATGCTGCTTGGCCTGCTGTGTTCATCCAGCTCTGCACCTTGTTGTCTCTGTAAACTCTGATAACTAGTTTAGTAATGCTGGTTATTATTTCTTTTAACATTAATATGTTTTGATGTATCTTGGATTAATACATTTTTCCATTTTTTATTCTTTTATTGGATATGAATTTTGCTGAAAAGTCCAACGTTTATTCCCATCCCTGATTCCTCTTGAGAAGGTGAGGGATGATGAACCATCAGCACATCAGTCTCAGCAGCACCACCACCAGTTCTCTTCCAGTTACTGCTCACTGTCTGTCTGCAGCATGAGGAAGAAAGCACCACAATGCTGAGGTCTCCTGGAAGGCAGCTAAGTTCTCTCATGGAACCTGGCGACAGACAGGCACCTCCTGTGGAGCTGTGGGGTGGTGGGAGCAGACTGTTAGACACAGGGATGGCTGTTTCAGATGGTCCTTCTATTGTAAGGAGGGAAGCTCCACAGCCTGCCTCCTCATTTCTGGAAGCACTCTTGGGTGATTTACGTCAGAGTGTCCCACACAACAGCGCAGGCAAAATGAATGTGGGTAGTCAGTCTTAATTGGGATCATGGTCGGTTCTATTGGCTGTCCAAGGCAGTAAACTAGTGCAATAGGAAAACATCCATCTCCACCACCAACACTTTTTCCTGCCACAGTACCTGCCTTCCCACTTCCCAGCCCATCTACAATGGGCTGAGCATATTCAGCTCATTGAATGCATTGATTGCTTGGACTGGACACACAAAAGGGATTGAGTTGCAAACTTTGGTTTGTCCGATTTAGATTCAAGTGTTCCTACGCTCCATCAAACCAACTCTGCCAGAAGTAATTTTTTGGTGCATCCGTGTGAAAATACAAGATAAAAAATTGTTTGTATTGTTAGAGGCCAGAGGGCCTGATTGTTAGACTGACAGTTGCAGCTACTTTAGACTGAGTACTCAGCAGATTTAGTTTGAACATGTTCAACTTTAAATTTGTGCTACGTACTCCTTCAAATGGTTGTTTTCATGTTCCTCTCCTCCATCTTAAACAAAATAACTCTTGTGATCTCAGCTGTCGTACAAGTCAGATTTGGAATGGCTTCGTGGTATTGGATGGAGTCCTGTCGATTCACTTGACATTCAGAACGTTAAGAAAGCTGGAGAGATTCTGAGCGAAAAGAATTATCGACAACCACCGAGCGCGCTTAAGTTCACAAGCATTCTTGATTCTCTCGAACTGGTTTTAGCCAAGAACAATGCTAAAAATCTCAACAAAGTAAGTAACATCTTAAATTATTGACAGAAGCAGGTATTCTTCCATGCTGATGTTTTTCTCAGGCTGTATTGATTTTGAAACATATTCATGGCAAAGACAAAATGACCTTTCATTCTAATATGAAGTCTTTGAAATTGTAGAGGGAAATACATTAAAGGTTCAGTGCATTATTCTGAAATCATGGTATCTGCTGTCTTAATGAGCGCATTGATTTATTGGGCAATTTTAAAATAATTTCCTATACTGCTATTCATCAGAGTCTTTTCAATGCCTGTGGGATGTCAGGAAGTGTAGCATCAATACTTGTAAACAGGAGGAGTCAAAAATCAATGGCCCTTCTGACATCAGAGTATACCACATTGACTGCAAATTACAGGGCCCGCATATTTTGGGCTCCTGCCTGAATGTGAGATACATCTAGGTGACAATCAGGTAAAGTATGTGTGAATCAAAGAGAGAGCAATAGAAGGACACATTGATAGGATTAGATGAAATAGGTTGGGAATAGGGTCATGTGGAGCATAAAGACTGCCATAGGCCAGTTGGGTGAAATGTGCTGTAAATTAAATATAAATTGATGAAATAACAGAGGGCCCAGCTTAAAAAGAATGTGCCTTCATCTGCCTCTTAAAAGCAAGTGATTTATGAAAGGGTACAGTCAGTGGCTGTATGGCTTTCGAGGTAAGAAACTTCCATACTCAGAGCCTCACAATAACTTAGTGTATTCCTTGGAAGCATCTATGACCAGTGAAAGTGGGCACACTGGGCGCAAAATTGGCAGAATTGGGAGACTCCTCAGGAGGAGATCTGGTCTATTATTTGTTCCCTTTTACAGGGGGCCAAAGAGGACTTTTAAAAAATCCACCTTTCCTGTGTCCCTCCCCAAGGAAAGTAAGTACGACTGCAGAGTGTATGCTCCTTACTGGATAAGTGCCTAGGTGCACACGAACTGTACATGTGCTCCCCATCCTTCTGTACATTACTCTGTCAGCATCAAAGCATTAGTCAGGACAGAGGCAGAGGTCCCAAAACGATGCAGCATGTTCATTTGCAACAATGTCTAAACTGTCTGGTCAGGGCTGCTGATCAGTAGCCAAAAGAGCAGGACATCAACGGGGGAGTAGAAAGGACTGAGAAGAGGAAAATTGGTTGGTAGGTTTAAATAAACAAAGAAATTCAGGACTGGATTTCAGCAGATCTGGGTCTAAAGTAACCAAAGAGATGAAGTATAGTTTTAAAATATTTAGGAGGCAGAGACACAAAGGTTGGATTTCTGTATATCAGGGAAGTCGGCCTGAAAGGTCTGGTGGTTTTAAATGTGGGAGTAATACAAGGAAAGACTTGATCCAGGAACAATGTCGAGCTGCCAATGAGGCAGAGTGAAAGAGGGTAAGGACAGAAAGAGAGAGACAACACACCAAGGTAAATTGGAGGTTGCAGTAGCAAAGATGATGGGACTGAAAACTGCAAAGGATCTTGGAAATTGGATTGAGGTTTCAAGATAGATAAACAAGGTGAACCTATGCCACTTATTATTGGGATGTCTGTAATGCAATTCTAGGAGATGAATGATCCAAAGTTTGTAAATAGATATTATTTGATGTGCTGTTTAGTACCAACAAAATTATGACACAGTAAATCAGTATGTCAAGAGCAATGCTGACTATTCTATGTATTTTATAATATATAAAAAAAGTTATTATCTGTCTCATTCTTTGATTTTTCTTTCACAGCACTTATACACAGAAGCTTGGGATAATGATAAAACCACTATTCATGTCATGCCAGACACCCCTGAAATTAATCTGGCCAAAAGCAACTCAGCTAACGTCAGTCAGGTGTGAATCTTTGAGACTAAACTGATTCAGAAATGATATTATTAAATGATCAGAAGCAAAACGCCAAGTTATATCATGTACCTTTTGTCCGTTTAGAAACTGTACCGTCAAGCATGGGAGGATTCCAAGCTAAAAGGTTATGATTTGCGAGCTGATGCCATTCCAATCAAGGCAGCAAAGGCCTCCAGAGACATTGCAAGCATGGTAAGAATCATACATCAGCCAGCGTGAACCACTCAGAATTTTATTTGTAAGCCAAATATCAAAATCATTGCTGATGACTGAATAATGAATAAAGATAAAGTTATTTTCTTTCTTCACAATTAGTACAAATACACAGAGGCCTATCGGAAGCAGCTTGGCCACCACATTGGATGCCGTGACATTCACGATGACCCCAAGATGGTCTGGTCCATGCACATGTCCAAGATTCAGAGTGACCGGGAATACAAGAAGGACTTTGAGAAAACAAAGACCAAGTTCAACATGCCAGTCGACATGCTGGACATCCTGTTGGCCAAGAAATGCCAGACACTGGTCAGTGACATTGACTACAGACATTACCTGCACCAATGGACCTGTCTGCCAGACCAGAATGATTTGATCCAGGCAAGGAAGGCCTATGATCTGCAGAGTGATGTAAGTACTTCTCATTAATTTTTCTCTGTACAACTAAACAAGTAGATCAAACATAATTTGATCAATGATGAAACAGAAACTTAATAACGTACAAATATTTATGAAGAAGTTGCTTTAAAATTGATTTAATGAGAACATCGAATTCAAAGAATGAACTATCGCTCTTTGATTTGGAATTAAAAACTACCACATTCTCTTTATTGTATCTCAATATCTCTAAAACTTCCTATGCTTTAGAATTACAAAGCTCACAGCACAGAAGAAGGCAACTTGACTCATCATATTGATCATGGCTCCTTGCTAGATCAATCCAAAAATATATCTGTTTCTCTCCAGTTTTATGCCTTTTGCAGCTTTAAATTGTTGTTGAATTTCCCGAAAAGATGTATTGGTTTCTACCTTAAGTGTTCCTTGTGGCAAAGATCCCCATGTTCAATGACTCTTTGAGTAAGCAAATTTTCCTAATATATCTTAGCACTTTCATAGCAGCAACCTTAGTTTGTCTGATCACCACTCCAACCAGAGGAAGTAGTCTACCTTCATATTCTCCTTTTTACCTTCTTTACTCCACCAGAAAATCTCAATGTCTTGCATCTGCCCTTTTAACTATAATTTCCAATCCCTGTCAATATACTGTTGAATCTTTAATGTACACTTTATGAATCTGTGTGTATGGGTCAGTATGAAAATGCATATACCACCCTTCTGCCTATCCCACTAGCCATTCCAGTTCCCCTTGAAATCATGTTTGCTAAATTCACTACATTTACCTCATGAAGTTTTCGGTGATGTGTACTTTTTGCTGAAGTTTAGATAACTTACATGTATTGTATTTAAAGTAAATCCAATGCTGACTCTGGATAATATCACTTTCATTCCTTTCCAAGTACAACCAATACCTGTTTACCTTAATCCTTGATTTTGTGCCATTAACTAAGTTTCCTTCTTCACTATTACGTTTACACCATATGCCTAAACCTTACATCAAATGTTCCACAAAGTACATTCTGTAAATTTATTTACATGACATTTACAATTGGTTGGTGCTTTAAAAAAATGAACTCTATTAAAGTTGTCAGATACAACTTGCCTTTAATCAAGTAAAACAAGAAGGCCAAGACAGTGTGTGTATTTAAGACAGAAGTAGATAGGTTCTTGATTGGTAAGGGGATCAAGGGTTATGGAGAGAAGACAGGAAAATCGGGTTGAGAAACGTATCAGCCATAATTGAATGGTGGAGCAGCCTCGATGGGCCAAATGGCCTAATTCTGCTCCAATATCTTCTGGTCTAAAGAACTGCAGATGCTGGAGATCTTAAAAAAAATAGAAATTCCTGGAGAAACTCAGCAGATCTGGCAGCATCTGTTGATTGAAAACAGAGTTAACGTTTCGAGTCCAGTGACTCTTCAAAAGAACTCAACCACTGCTCATGATCATGGTCCATGGCCTGGCAGATAGCCTTTAATCAATCCAAGTCCATAATCAGCCCAGGCATTTCTAGATACTTGTTAATTTATTATCAAATGGTTATGGATTATGAGAATTTGCTCACAGGTGACATCAAACTAATTGATCTATGTTTATCTAATTTATCCTTCGCTCTATTTGTGAATAGATTGTCCAGACTCTCAGAACTCTCATCATTAAGCAAAATTGAAAGATTGTTGGCAGAATTTTCCCAATATTTCAGAATTAATTCATTTTCTATACTTACATTTAATAATTCATCCACATCACTCTTTTTACCCCAACAACATTTTTACTTCCACCACTGTCAAAACTGACACTTTTAACTCTGGTCCAGTTTTTGGTACGATGATTTTGAAATTTCAGAACTAAGGCCCATGGCATTTTAACTCATGTAATATATCACCGGGATCATTTCAGTGATGGGGGAGGTTATGCAAGTACAAAGGAGGGAAGTCCTAAGCATCACTTTACTACTGGACAAGTCAGATCCCAGAATGAAATTGGCTTGATAGACCATGTTTTGTTTTTTTTCTATTTAACATGGCAGTCTTTGACTGAAACATGGCTGTGGATTTTTTTGATTTTAACAATAAAACAGAATTTTATAAAGAAAGAGATCGAAATAGGAATAGAAATGTAAGAAATAAATATAAACTAAAGCAACCCAAGCTATCAATATACAATACAGTTTGAATTAATTCAAAACATGTGGCAAAACAAAAGGCCATATACTAAATCCAATATATCCCAACGCCATCACTTTACAGTTACACAAAAAAGAGAAATTTTCCTTTCCCATCAAATCTGTAGGTTTGACATAATTGCTTTTCATCATTTTGGTCCTGTGAGCTGTGAAATCTTTTTTTGACTCACATAGCTGAAAACTTAGACTTTCTCAGTTTCGAATAACCAACACAGGTTTCTAATTAAACACTCACAGTCTGGATTTATTTTTATGAAACTACAGTCTTTCACTGAGATAAGTTATTTCCATAGATTCTCTGATTAACTCTTTCTAGGAGAGATTTCTTTTCATCTCACTTTAGTCAGATCCCTTTTGAATTACCCACAAAAGCTTTTGAACAAAATTATAAATAACTTGCTCATCCTAGACTCAACCATTTGCCACTAAGTTAAAACCTAAACTCTTCTTTTTTTTAAAAAAAGCCCACATGTGTATTAAACCATACATCTTTTATCACAGTCCTGGACCTCCTGGACCAGTGAGAAAGATAATTTAAAAAAATAGGATTTTCCCTCCTTGCTATACTTCTGACCCTAATGCTCTCAGTGTCAGCTTAGCCTGCAAGTGGACTCCCTGCCCCAAACAGCTTATTCTGCTGATTTCACAAATAGAGTGTGGTCTGACAATATCATCAGAACCTGATGTGCAAACGTTAAAATAAATAGTGCTAACTTTTGCAGATGAGCAGGCATGGTTAAAATCACTGTTACAACATTTTCTTAGTATGTTCATGTTTCAATGTTTGACATTCCTCAATCCTAAATGGTGTTATCTTCCTCCTTTAAATACTTATAAAAGCTCTTACTGCTTCCTTTTATTTATGATATGATTTCTCCTATTCTCCTTTGATCCTTTAATCTCTCTTCTTAATTTCAGACTTTCTATATTTCTTGTGATTTTTTTTGTTTTAACCAAATTTGCCTCGGATTGATTCTTTATATCCTTTTTTATGTTTTAGGTTTATTTTAATGCCTTTATTTGCAGAACTTCATTCTTAGATGCATCATTTTTTTTGCCTAATAGGAATATACTGATTTTGTTCCCTGTCTCATGTTCAAAAAATTATCATGACTGTATTGTTGTCTTGTTTTAAATTTTTCTCCTGTGTTAATTTGGACTCAGCCAGTAGACTCACAATACTTGACCTTGTTTTGATCAGGACCCTCAACTTTGACTTTTCAGAGAATTTTGGAAGTGCTGCAGTGCAGGACCACACCAATTAGCCTATTATGTCTACATCAGCTCTCCGAATGAACAATCCCCTGGCTTTTTCCTGGAGACTTGTACATCCTTCCTTTACAGATAATGATCCATTTCACTCAGAATGCCTTCTCCATTCAGATCCCTTATGTTTTGAATACCTCTATTAAATCTTTTCCCAACCTCCTCACCTCGCAGGAAAGCAGTCCAATCTATCTACGTAATGAAAGTTCTTCATTCTGGGACAATTCCATTGAATTATCTTTGTACTGTAACATCTTCACATCTTTCCCACAATATTTCCAATACTCTTTTCCACTTAAATACTGAACTTTACAACAATATTCTGTCTTTGTTCTACTGTATTCTATCTCACATTGGTTAATATTAAAGGACATCTGTTTCGATGCGATTCATTGATATTTATTAATAAGAAATGTTTTATACACTGTGATTTGAGATTTGCTCTTGTCCTCGGCAGTTGCTGTACAAGACTGACATGGAATGGATCCGCGGCTGTGGCTGGATCCCAAATGATTCTCTTGAGGTTAAAAGAGTACAAAGGGCTCAGGAGATTCTTAGTGAGCGTCACTACCGCCAGCCCCCGGATAAGTTCAGCTTCACCAGCATTGTTGACCATCCCAGCATAATCCAGGCTAAAATCAACTCTGACCTACTGAGTGATGTAAGCATTGCTACAGCTTTTTCCTCAATGTGCACTGACAAAACGCACATAAATCTAACATTGTGTTCAGCGGATGTGTTTGCTGTTGGTCCCCTATGCTGCTTAATATGATTCAAATGGATATTTTAAGGGCATTTATTTTATTAAGGACATTGTAGAATATTTTACTTATGGACAGAGAAATGTTTTATTGTTGTTCACTGCCAGTTAGCAAATTCTTAAATTGGACGATCCTTTTACAAATATAGGACCTAAATTGTGCAGCCCTATCAATATCGTAGAGTCACAGTCATCGAGTCATACAGCATGGAAACAGACCCTTTGGTCTAACGCATCCATGCCAACCAGGTTTCCCAAAGTAAACTAGTCCCAATTGCCTGCATTTGGACCCTATCTCTCTAAACCTTCCCTATTCATGTACCCGTCCAAACATCTTTTAAATTTTGTAACTGTCCCCACATCTACCAATTTCTCTGGCAATTCATTCCACACATGTACTGCCCTCTGTATGATAAAGCTGCCCCTCAGGCCTCTTTTTTAAATTTTTCTCCTCTCACCTTAAACATATGCTCTCTAATTTTGAACCCCTCTACCTTGGTGAAAAAACCTTTCTCTTCACCTTATCTATGCCCCTCATGATTTTATAAACCTCTACAAGGTCACCCCTCAACCTCCTATGCTCCATGGGAGAAAAATCCTAGCTAATCCAACCTCTCCTTTTCACTCAAACCCTCTAGACCTGATAGCATCCTTGTAAATCTTTGCTGCACCCTTTCCAACTTAATAATATCCTTCCTGTAGCAGGGCTACCAGAACTGTATACAGCACTCCAAAAGTGGCCTCACCAATGTCTTGCACAGCCATAACATGACATCCTAACTCCTATACTCAATATTCTGACCAATGAATGCAAATGTGCAAAATGCCTTTTCACCACCCTGTCTACTTGTGATGCCACTTTCAAGGAACAATGTCCCTGAACCCCCATGTCTCTCTGTTCGACAACACTCCCCAGGACCCTACCATTAATGGTGTAAGTTCTGCCCTTGTTCACCTTTTCAAAATGCAAAACCTCGCATTTATATAAATCAAACTCCATCTGCCACTCCTCAGCCCAATGGCCCAATTGATCAAGATCCCATCCTCTGTCTCCTACCATCAAGCCAATTTTGTATCCAACTGGAAAGCTCACCCTGAATTCCACATGATCTAACTTTACTAAGCAGCCTACCATGCGAAATCTCGTCAAAGGCCTTGCTAAAGTCCATGTAGACAACCCCCACTGCTCTGCCCTCATCTATCTTCTTGGTCACGTCCTCAAAAAAACTCAATCAAATTTGTGAGACATGATTTCCTATGCAGAAAGCCATGCTGACTGTCACTAATCGCCGCTCAAAATGCATGATCTAATCCCTTTCAAAAGTCATGAATTAGACTTTCAGAGAGTACAATAATTTACTTTTCACACACAAGGATGGGCTGCACACAATTCTTCTACATTCTGCAGATTTGAATTCAGGCCCTCGGAATTGCATTAAGTTGTCAGCATGTTCAGTCCTCTGTCAGAAGGTTGCAGAGGTTTGAGCATGAAATTCTAGGCTGACATTTCAGTGTAGTACCAAGGGCATTTCAGGTAATGTCTTTCAGATGAGCTGTTATCAGAAGACCTTCTACCCTGACAGGTGGACTTAAAAGATTGCGTGCCTACTCAAGAAAGGAGCAGGAGACTTACCCTGCTGCTGGAGCCAAGATTTATCCCCAATCAATGTTGCAAATGTAGATTATTTGCTCATTACCATATTATTGTTTGTGGAACCATGCTGTGCACAAATAGGCTGCCATATTTTGTACATGACTGCAGTGGCTAACATTTGAAAAATACTTAATTGGCTTCAAAATGCTTTGAGATGACACGGGGCCATGAAAGGTGCAAAATAATGATATCTCTCCCTTCCATTTCCTTTTCATATCCTTTTCAATTCCCTTTCTTTTCTTTTCCTTTCCTTTTACTTTCCTTTCCTTTTATTTTACATTTTTATTTTTTCTTTACCTTTTTTTCTGTTGTTGTCACAGATGTTAAGAATAGAGGACAAATCAGAATGAAATCTGGCTTGATTAATCATAAATTTAATTTTTGTAGTTGGTTACCATGGTGATTAGTTACTGAATATATTCACACAAAGCAGCTAATTTCTTTAACAAAAGAACATGTTTATTACATAATGGGAAAGGAAACAAACAAAGTGATAGTACAACAAGGTGCAGAGCTGGATGAACACAGCAGGCCAAGCAGCATCATAGGAGCAGAAAGGCTGAAAC